TGTGTGTGGCAAACACTCAGGCAGGCATAATTTGTGCCAGCTCTGTGACGTAGAGGACATGAGGCCCAGGCGGCTGCCATGAGTGGCAGTAACAGCATCTCTTGCTCCAGCCTGCCCCATCTCTGACTTCATTGGCTCCAGCTCTGACGCAGATACACCCGTCCCCTCCTCCCCTCCGCTGCACACTTCTTTCATCATGTTTTTTTCTTCACCTTTTTTTGATTCATGTGCTTTCTGCGGCTCGCCCTCCACTGCAGCGCTGCACACTGTGCCACAAAACACCTCTTTACCACCTGTCCATTGTTTCCTCGGTGAATGATTCTCTTTCTACGTCTTTTATACAATTAACAAGATCCAGATATAGATACTCATATATGATCTGACGCATACTGGAATATTTTAATTGTGCTGTTGAGGATACAGATGACATTGACATTCAGTCACTGTGAAGATTATATTCAAACTGAATATTTCAGCTGTTGAATAAGACAACCAGGGTGTCAGACCCATAGACTAGTGTCCAGAAGGTGAGTAGCAGTAAAGCACAGTTTGCATAGACTGATTAAAAAATGTATTTACATCAGGTAGTTTTGTTGGTTCTGTTTTATCACTGCTTCTCACAATCTTTTTTTTAGTACCACACCATGCATAGACACTTACTAAGATGTGGAAAATGTATATTGTATAGTTTAAATGACAGTTGTTCAGCCCTTCATGAAGTCAGACTTCTATAAGTTAAAAATAAATGAATATTATTATTTGATTTTACCCACAATTTTAATTTCTAATAGACTTAATAAACAGGTCTGTTAACCAGTATGGTTTAGTGTCTCAGTCTCTTTTCTTCACAGGCAGATCTCAGTGACGTACATATGAGATGTTTACTGAGGGTCATGGACACTACGTTTTAACTGTAATATAAAAATAGACTTTGCTGCATTTTTTTTAAAGCTTAACCAAAACGGCAGTTAGCAACGTCATTCTGCTCAGGCTGTTGTTACTGTCTGACTCCACAAAAGCAGCCCCCACCATATCTGCCTGTTTCCTGTTGAAAAGCCACCACTGACTGTCTGACTGTGTATTCTGAACACCTCAATGTCTCCTGGTTCACATGACTTTACAATAAAGTATGTAGTATTTCAAAGATTGCCCAAAAAAGTTTAACTTGTAGGGGACTGGCGACAGTTTTAAAAAATGGTGACGTGTTTTACAGACATAATGTGACTTTTTCAACACAAGGCAACATTCTAATACCATTTGCAAATTAATTCTAATTCCATACCATTAATGTCTGTCTTGTACTCTACATGAACAGTGCCCTCTAAATTGACAGGCACATGGAGGCTAACACCTCCTCTTTGTGTGTGTCACCAACAGACAATGTCAGTTTGTCTCTGATCAGTTAGAAACAGGACTTCCTTTCCAACTAAAAATGTGAAGAACAAGTACACGGAGCAAAGGAAGGGAAAAGCCAGCGTTGTTACGTGGTTTTTTAATCGTGTCAGTGCAGGTCGTCGAGGTCGGTGCTGAGTGCGGGTGTACAGACTAAAAGCTGCACGGACCACATGATCACGTAAAATTGACATATTAAAAAAACGAATTGAATTGAAAGATCCACTACAACCTTTTAATTAGAACATACTGTACAATCAATCGGCAAAGGTCTCACTGATGCAGAACATCTTGGATAGGAATTAGTCATTCCGATCCCAGTCTACATCGGCAGAATGCAGACATCGAGGACTGAGGTCACTGTTTCACATTAGATAATTCCAGGAACAGGTGACATCACAGCCATTAAGACTGTGAAGAAGAGAGAAAAGCTAAACCTGTCTATTTCTGTCACTAGATTAGTTCTACTCCTAAATCATCCCATCTAGCTGTGGTTATAATTTATGTGAAAGGACAAAAAGTATTTTAAAAATAAGCAAAAGAACAGACATTCAGACATAATGTCTGAATGTCTTTATTAGATAGTTGGGGAAACTCGGTGTTGGATTTATGTTCAACAAAACCATCACGTGAACAGGCCTCTGCATTGCCAATCCCTAAGTCCATTAATCCACAGACAACTACATAATTTGACATGGATGATGTCGCCGAAGGTGAGAGGAGAAGGAGGGAGAACAAAAAGACAGAGTGCCTGATGTTCTGATGACGTCTTCGCAGGAGAAGAAGAAAGAAAACAGAGAGATGTTCAGAACAGCCGGTGATAAACAGAGATTTGATATTGTCTCCTGGGAGGGCCAAGGAAATATTAGAGCGCAACAAACCTGTCCTCGGGGTCTGGGGTTTTGTACACTGTAGTCCGTCATCTCTTACAATCGGCGGTAATTAAGGACGACATAGGGGACATAACGATGCAGTTTGATTTGTATGTGCATTAATCTAAATTATGCACCTATTTAACATTTGTCCTCACGGCTCAAAGCGTGGTGACGTCCATTGACGTCACGTTGAAGAAGGTCCACGTTTGCAGTGACATGCAAATGTGTGCACATCGGGCTTTGTGTAAACACGGCGCTTGACTCTTTTCCCTTTCAGTTGTTGCACTTTTATGACAAATAAGAGTGAACACGGGCAGTGATGTGCTCGCTGGCTGTTGAACTAGTTGTGAGCCAAGCTGTGAAGATGTGCATAACTCCCTCAGTCCCCCCAGGGACCCTGTATTTTCATGGGCCTGCCTCTGACGTCAATGCTCCGGCTGTCCTGTGGATTGTCAGAACAGACTATTCAGCTGGGGGAGGGGACTGGGAGTCTCTGGTGTGTGTGTGAGTGTGTGTGTGCATGTGTGTTTAAGCCATACATAGATGTTACTGTGCTTCTGTGTTTTGCTCGCACGTGATTTGTAAATGCGTTGCTCACATTCGGGGTGTGCAGTGCAGTGAATGAAAAATGTGCTTAAACAGGAGAGGTCTGTAACAGGGGTGGGGGCAGGCGGAGGGATGATGGGGGGCTATAAGCCGTGTGTGTGTTTGAAAAGATGTGCAGCTCCTGTGTTGGGACACAGAGGCCTGTAGTCGGAGGATGTTGCTAAAAACAGCTGAGGGTGGAAGTGTTAAGTATGACTGCTGACCGCTTCACTCCGCCGTCAGCTGTTGATGCCACAGCCCCAACAATAGTAGAGCAACACTTTCACCAACAGCTTTAAGAGGCAGGTGCATATGACACACGCACACACACAAAGTCACACACTGGTTTCTGTGTTTTGTGAGCACTTTAGGGATCCATATGCATGTCCCTAACTTACATTTCCTTCACTATAATAAATATATGCCTAATCTAAATCCTTACCCTAACTCTAATCTGAGCCTCATTCTAATTTCTCAATATACCCTCCATCTGTGTGGTGACCTGCAGATGCCCTTACAAGGGCTAAATGTCCCCTGTAACAGTATTTTATTTAAAAACAAAATGTCTCATAAGCCTAGCTGCAGCAGGAACACTCCATGAATTGCACATTTATTCATTTCATATTTTACACAAGATGTCTTGTAATATGTGTATATTCACAAATAGAATTTTAGAAGCAGTATAATAATCCAAACACCAAGTTAGAGGACAATGCATTCAACTTTTGTATAAATAATATGTATATATATATATAGTGTGTGTGTATGTATAATTGGCACATTTTGTTTTGAAAAAAATATCTGTACATTTTGACATTTCTCTTTTTCCACAATGTAATTATTTTACTGTTGCTTGGAGTAAATTCTTGGTCAGGGTTGTCACTGGGAGTGAGTTTTACAATTTCTAATAAGCAATTCTGTAAAATTAGCGTCAGAGATATCATTCTGTTTACTTAGCACAGTACAGGAAACATCTGACAGCTCCAGATTTGCCGGGATCATTCGGTTGCTTGTGTGTTTTTCCCAACAGTTTATCTATTATAACATATGACTTCAGTGTGTGTGTCTCGCTCCCTTACACACACACACACTGCATACCATGTACAGAAAATGCACATGGCTTTAAAATGTGCTCCAGGGCATCAGTGATCACACATCAGTGTAGATAAAAAGAACCTCTATGTTTCACAATGTTCTATATTCAGTACAAACGTACTGTAGATACTGGGTTTATTTGACAGTAGTAGCTGCTCAGTTATTTCCTGTTATGTAATAACTGTGTGACGTCGGTGGGGTCAGATACAGCCGGGGTCGCTGCTGGGTCACAGCCGTGGTGCGTCCCCTGTATTCTTGAGCATTTCCATATATGTTCTTTGTCCATAACCATCTCAGTGATACTCATAAAGTTCAGTGCCTTCTGATGTAGCTACTGTAAATCTTCGCTGGCTTTTATCACAGTGTCTTATATTTATTTCAAATATGATTTGTAGGTTTTTATTGTTAATGCTATAAACTAGAATGTAAAAATGTTGGACATTTAATCTCTATATTAAATGTTTTGAATTAGTTTGTATCGGATTCAAACTGTATTATCCCACATTTGTCACAATGTTGAAAGGCTTCCTATGTATGCTATTATGAATAAGAGAAACTGATACTAATTTTTAACTGTCCAGTACAGGCTTTAGTTGAAGCAGCACGCTGGATTTACAGAATAGGGTTCAAAATTGCATTCACAACACCTACAGTAGAGGAAAGGTAATTACATCCATTTAATACCAAACCATATTTTGCTGACTACATCTTAAAATACTGCATGTTGAAGTTGAGGACTTTTATTTTGAATATTTACAGTAAAAAAAAAACATGCTCCACCATTAGAGCTAACTTGACGTTTTCGCGGTGCTCTCTCTCTCTCTCTCTCTGGGCACGTGTGCGTGCGTGCGTGTGTGTTTTAGTCCCACCTCTCTCCCTCTCTCTCCGTCTCCCTCTCTCTCCCTCCCTCTCTCGCTCTCTGCATCTATGCTCGCTCGTTGCCTCGGGTCCTCCAGTTGCTGCTGCTGCTGCTGACCGTCCACAGCGGAGCCACCTTGCCGTGGAAGGCAAAGACTGCAGCTTTCGACCAAAGGTGCGGGGTTCTCTTAAGTTTTGGAGTCGAGGAGGCGGAGGAGGAGGGGGCGGAGGAGGAGAGGAGGGTGGGGGCAGCTCATTGCTCTACGTAACCCTTCCTAAAAGCCTCGACACCATCCTGGAATAGTTGTTTTCTTTATTTCTTTATATATTTTTTTCACCTGTTTTTTTTTTTTTTTTTTTTGCTTCAAACTTAACACCCAAGTTGCTGGAACCGCTGCTGTGGCTCCACTTTCCCCCGGCCCCTCTCTCCTGTAGCGCTCACTATCGACATGGAAGATGGTCCGTCTTCGACAAGCTGTTTCAGAAGGTTAACGGACTGTTTCCTGGGTGCAAGTACGTATATTTTTAAAACAAAAGATGACAAATAAATATAATTTTGGGCTGTTTGTAAGTAAACATGGGTATGATTTGTTATATACTTCCGGCCGGTCCTGCAGGCAGACGATATTTCTTCCCCATCCCTCAACTTTATGAATGAGCGATTGATAGAAGAATAAGAAGGGTGGGGACTTCAGCTGACGACTGTAATTCCTAAAATGTAGCACGTGTCCACTGAATGTTTTTTGTTTGTTTGTTTTTGTTTATTTATGCAGTGTGTTTGTTTTTTGACGCTTTTAGGGCAAATCTGTGAAATGTTTTCTGTCTTGAGACGAGTCGATGTGTTGCGGATGGGACAACGCCGCAGAGAGAGAGAGATAGAAAGTACATATACTGCTCATTGATCCAGGGTAAAAATGGCAATTTTTCAGAAGCCAAATTTGGATTCATAATTGGCATTTTAAAATGCAAAAATATAAGCATTTGTACTTATAAGTAGAAATAAAGTACATTTGTAAATTAAATGTACACTTTTTTAAGTATCACAATTACAGCTTTTTAATGAAAATTTTCTGTTTTTTAGGATGATTATAGCTGTAGCAAATTATTTTTTAAATCATCAATCATTATTTTTTAATAGCCTAGTATGTTATATGCATTATACTAAAATATGGTTAAAATGTCAGCGTGTCCTGAAACATAAAAATTCATACCGTTTTATTTATCATTGTATTTATTTATCAATTATTGTAAATGTATTCAGTTACTCTATAATTAACTAGACCGGCACATCCTATCAGATAAATATCTTGATTAAAAGGAAAGTCAAAACATTTAGTCATTGATTAATTACCAATACAGGCAGCCCCACGGGCTGCCTGTATTGGTAATTAATCAATGACTAAATGGTTTCATAGCTAGCAGTGTGTGTGGTGGTGTGTTTGTTTGTGTGTGTGCACATGCCACACAAATAGTGTCAGGGCTGTTTTGACACCTTACGTGACCTTTACTGTTATCTTTGTAATAGGAAATGAGAATTCTCTGGCCTGGTGTCCAGACTGACGCCACCATGGGATGTAGCAGCAAACTGCAGTCACTGAAGCTATTAGGGAAGTATGGCAGTATGTAGAAATGATGCTGTCACACTGACTAAAAAAGGCCAGCAGTGTTAGAAGGTCGCTGTGTTGTCAAAACCTTTTCATTTTAAAAACAGTCATAAATGCTGTTGCTGCTCAGACAGATATCTGTTTGAAGTTGATCCTAAGTGTCATGTTTAGCATCAACTGCCCGCTTCTGTCACATGCTCTCTTTCATGAATCAATCTGGGATACTTCCAGGATTACCTCTCCCTGCTTGACTTGATCAGATTAGAGTTCAGAAAAGAAATGAGTGAAACCTCATGAACATGAGTGTTTCTAAAGAATTGTTAGTGTGACTGTCCTGTACAGTATAATTATTAAGCATGTGATAGGTCACCACCCAGCTGAGGCGAGAAGAGGCTGTTTTCGCTGACACACTGTTGCATGTTGCTCCATTCACTCTGGGCTTGTTAATGCAATTTCCAACACTTAGTTCTTCCTCTGTTTATCCTAGTGTCATGGGACAGCTGGCTAGATCCATGAAATACTTTACAATGTATATGTGTATGTGTGCTCGTACATATTGTTCATGGGGAGTCCCCTGAATCAGAGAGGTCAGGCAGGATTACCTTAAAAAGACATTGCATCAACCCAAAATGCTTAGGTCTGCGATTAATAAATTACGTATAAAAATCTGTGCATTCACTGTTCATAAACATCTCCCACCTCCTGCTGCAGTTCTATAAATGGAGCCATACTGCTTGACTTGTGTGTGCTGAAACTTTGTTGGTCGACATACAGCGGATTTTCTCACATGGCCAAGCAGTGGCCACGTGTGTGTTTTTCTTTATTTCTTCATGCTGTAATTCAGTTTTTTTCAACTTTGGGGTTGCAACCCCACGTGGAGTCAGCTGAAATTCAAATGGGGTTGTCCTATTGTATTGGTTAAAACACCACACACAAATTTGAACAACTGTATTCTAATAAAATGCAGCGTGAGCTGGTGGTGGAAAATAAAATATCACTTTGTGCACTTATCTGGCTACTCTGTATGTGTAACACAGTATAACAAAAATGGTCAAAAACAACTTCAAGAAAAAATAAAGTCTCTGGAAGTGACAGAAATTGACAGAAGCCAAAAAAGGTTGGAAACCACTGCCGTGACTGGAACTGTGATTGAGTAACTATGTTCAATATTCATATATGCAGGGGCAGGAGGTGGGACGAGGGAGGGAGCACTGCTGTCGGACATGTTTGTTGACCCCTGATGAGCTTTTTCGAGGGTTCATATCAGAGAGGCTGGGAACAGGCCACGTGCATGTAGATTTCTTTACAACTTGTCCTTGTGTCAAGACTCATAAAAGAACACAGCACTTAAGGAGACACAAGGATCTGTGCTTCTCATTATGTGTTCCCAAATGGCCTTACTGCAAAGCAGCTGCAGAGTTCAGTAGAAGTCTGGATGTGAAGCTGGGAACTTGACTCCTGATCATTAGTGAGGAAGATATGTCAACCTGGTTGGGCAAGATCCCGGCACTCAGAAGCTTGAAATATATTTAAATATATATATATATATATATATATATATATAATTTGTAATTTAATAATTATATAATGTGTGTATTTAGGAATGATGATTTGTCCTAATGTTTTTCACTGCTACCCTCTGTGTGTGTGTCTGAGACTGCAGTGGATGTGGGATATGCCTTATCTAAGTTTACAGTCCTTATCCTTTTTGTCTAATGATCTGAAGTGGAAATAATGCAAATTACATTTCCATGGAAATTCTTCTGTGGAGACTGCGTTCCCTATCTAAAGGTGCGATTCTGGGTGGTTTCTGGTTTGTGCAAAACAGTTGTCTTTAAACGTGAGTGGTCGGTGGCAGTTCAAGAAATGGTTTTGCTTGTTTGACGTATTTTCCATTGACTGGTCAACTTCATTCTCTGCTTTTGTTCGGTATGATCAGAATGTATAATGTTTTACTCCACACATACATACAGCCTCACAACAGGCCCAATAAATAAATGAGGCGTGCAGTGGTAGAAGAATTAAGGTCGTTTTTTTTGTTTTTTTTACTTTGTTTCTCACTGAATGTCAGTCTCGGAGGCTGAGCTCCAGCCTTCCCACAGATAAGATAAGAACCACATGCTCTTCCCACCTCCTGGCAAGGGAGTCCCAGGCGGACCTGCTGACGCACGCACCTCACTGCAACCCCCATCTCTTCTCCTGCCTCGGCCTCATGTCAGGATAGTGAAAAGTACTACCTTGGCAGCTTGCCCTTGACTCTCTGCCAAAAGGAGTGCACTTCTACAGAAGTGGTCTTTTCCCTTTTTCTTTCATGTGCATTTTCATCTCTCTATGGCTGCGGCTAAACATGTGGCTCACCACACACTGGCACTGACAGGGGACCAGCTGATGTTTGTGTCATCTGACATTCCAGCTAAAGATGCATGTTCTGATTTGTTTAAATAATATTGAGATTCAGATAAATAAGTTGTCTGAATGGCAAAAGTACCAGTGACTGTTTACATACTTAAAATCATGTAATCAAGTACTTGCTAACACTTGGTCTGGAAGTTAAGGACATTTCAGCACAATGCTGATGTATGGACTTCCTCTTTGCAAAATGCAGTCTGAAGAAGCCTTTTGTTGACAACAGTGGACTTTCTTGAGCAATAGTTGTCACTATTCAATATGGTCTTGTAGAACGTTATTCCGTCCATTTCTGCTACAGAAACCATGGGCTCACATTGAGCTTCATTCACATCATTTAAGTGGTCAAATGTTTTTGTCAGGGCTTTGAAAGATTTCTGTTTAGTGTTCAAAATGTATTTTTGACTTTTCCCAGTTAAATGTTGAAGACACTTGATCTAGCAAATACAAAAATACAGGCAGTAATATGTTGATACAACAACAGTGAGATATTGAAGCTTGCATAACCCAGTCTGGCGTTTGCACATATAGTTTTTTACTGGTATCTGTTTTTGTTTTTGCTTGATTCCATCCTTGATTCCAAGATCAAACCTTTGCTGAATGCACATTTTATTTCAAATCTTAATACCCAAACCTGATAGCATCTCAATCAATGTACTTATTTTTACAATTACCCTGTCTCTGCATATTTCTACATAAGATTATGTTTACAAAATTAAATTAACTTTGTCAGTTAGAAAACATTAGCATTTCTGTTCCTGATAAAAACAATTCTAGTAAATTATCAATTTAATGCTATTGGTTTTTAGGTGCAGAAAGTATTGCCATTTATAGTACTTTGTTGTTAATGCCTTGCTGCCGTGTTTAACGTGACATTTGGTGGATAAGCAGGAAATGGAAATATTAGCATTTTGCTCAAGATAAACTTCCAAGGAAAGAAGTGGTTTTAAAAAGCACTCAGAGAAGAATTGTATAGCTGGTGAAACATACGCATCATCCATTATGCAGAAGATGAGGGTACTGGTTTGTGTGATCAGTATTTCTAGGCAAATATCTGATAACAGGAGTTTCTACAAAAGTTGCTGGGATGTTGAAGTAAAAGAAAAAAGATGATCCGTTGGCAGAAAGGACCATTTCTCTGCTGCAGCTCAGAGATGAAAACTGAAGTGAGGACATGACGGATGTTGTTGCTTGATGACACATTGCAGAAATGACAGGCCAAGCTCAAACCAAACACAACGTTCTGTTACTATAAGCACGGCAGTTAAAAGGAACAGAGTTGTGGAACTCCAAAGATAAACCTGCTTCACATGCGTTTAATTTGTTTTTGTGGAGGAGCTCCAGTCTGCTCTTCTGTGCACCACTGAAAAACAGCTCGACCCATAATGTCATTTTGACTCACGACTCACACTTCACCACAACTGACGTGGTGTCATACTTTCAGTGACATCTTTTACTATGCATCAAGTTTACTGACTTAAGTAACTGACTGCAAACCAGTCACTTTTCCATATAAAATTGCAACATGCCCAGATTATTCCCTGGTTAAAAGTCAATCCCTGAGGATTTTACATTGTAGGAGTTAGGGAGGTGTATTGGCAAAAATCTGCTCATTACACATTAAGTTTTTTCCAAAACAACTGTAAACACACAATGCTGATACATGTTTTACATTCAGTTACTAAAATTGGAAGGTAGAAAGATTTACATTTGTAATAGCCAGAGAACAAATAAAACCCAAATTAAAATGAACCAATGCCATGAAAAATAGATACAGTGCTGTAGAATATTGATACGGTATTGTGGTATTTCAGTCTATTAATATTTTCTTACACCCCTAATCCAAGTATATTTCAAGATGTTTTATTGCCTGAAATTTACAGTGCAGCCACACACTGTCTGTAATCAAGATGTTTTATTGCCTGTTTACAGTGTTACAGTGCAGCCACACACTGTCTGTAAATGCATGTCTGTCAAACAGCAGCATGTTCACAATGAACGACCCAGACAGCCTCAGACCAGCTCAGCCTTTCTTTCCCGGTCCCAGGGTGTGGTGTTCTATACTCAAGATAAATGTTATGCAACAATACTTCACTGCCTGAACACAGGCTCTACTTTTTTTACACAGGAAGCCCAAGTCTGCGTCAGGCACCAAAATCTCTGCCAACTGGGCTTCAGCCACTCATAAACATGCCGCATGACAAACTACAGCACTTCCTGTCTGAGCAGCGTCGTTTCACTTAAACTCATCTGCACGTAGAAATCTGATGTAGTGATTCAACCCAAAGAGGAATGATACCTCACAACCATGTTGGTCTGTAACAACTGCACTACACTTTTAACACTTGATTTTAATTTAATTTATTTAGCCTTTATTTTTCTCTGAAAAGACTAATGGTGGTCAAGGTGTGCAGCAGCAACAGCTCAAACGTTTAAGCTTGTTTTTTTTAAAAATACCAGTTGTTTGGTAGTATATTTCCTCTTATTCAAAGTAATACTTTTTTTAAGCAGACATTTGTTGCAGACAACAGTTTTTCTTGGAGGGATGGACGATGCAAAACTTGATGAGGTGGAAATGCTATCCTGGTAAATTTAAGTAAAAACCCCTGCAACAGACTACAACCTAGCAAAGTTTGCAGAGAGGGACAGAATGATTAGTATTTTTGAATTTCTATTCAATTTGTCAAATCGAACACTCTGTCCTCTGCTGGACTAATGATGACGCAATAGCGTTCTGCAGCACTGGTCAGTGTGGTAGAGGAAAATTTCACAGAGGTTCTAAAGACATAAAAGAAAATAACTCTGGTTCAACCAATGACCACACTATTGCTTCTACTGCAGCACGTTTTCTCTCTCACTCTTTCTCTCTCTCTCGACCAAATGTGGTTTTAAGTGGAGTTGCAAAAACTGGACTCCACCAAGTGGTCCAGATCAGGCTACACCTTTTCCTTACCCGCCATAGTCTCGGGATTCAAACACTGACGCACTACACACAGTGGAGTGCCACTGTGGCCACGTCAGGTTCAGCTGTGGCTCTAAAGACGTAGGAGAGAAAGACCTGACAGTTAACAGAAAGAAGTGGAAAGATTTAATGAGGAAAAGGCAAGTTACTATCATTTATCATCATTTACCTCCATGCAGCCCAGTTAAAAACATGAATCAGTATACTGTATAGTGTGCTGTGCTGGTAAATAATAATTTGTATATTTTTTATTATTCTCTAGTCATTTTAAATGAATCTGTGCAGTTTGGTTTCGCCTTGTGTAGGGATGTAATGATGCATCGTGAATCTGTTAAAATCTATACAAATCCCTGACAATTAGCATCAGTTCAAATAAAAAATGAATCATGCATCAAGCCATCAGTAGGCTGCGTTATGTCAAAAAGTCACTGGCTATTCCATGAGACTACACACTCTAGTACAGTAGGTGGCGGTATCACCTAATAAACGTTGGTTGTGAGTTAGTATTGTATTTAAAAACATTTAAGCTTATTTTGTTTTTAAAAAACAATTGTGATAAAATCATGTCTTGAACAAAAAAATTGTGACTCGCTCTGTGAAAACAAGACATTTGAATTCAGTGTTCAAACATCCCATCGTTGCTGTTTCTGCGGGTTTTCCATAATCTCTTGGTGCCAATAAGACAGATTTGCAAGGGCCGTCTGAAGTGTTTATAGCTGCTTCTGAGACCCCCACCCCTGGGCATTTTTTTATTTACTAAAGTGTTCTGCTCTTTTACAACAGAGTTAGACAGAAGTCGCGTACGGCTGTAAGGAAGGTGCCCTGAAGAGTGTGGTGTTTCTTGGGTCTGGATAGCATCAGAACACGGCGTCCTCCACCTCTACCCCCTAAAGTTTTCTCTCGCTTCTGTTTGAATTATTTGTCTTTTGTGTATATATGAACCCACACACACAACAGGCAGATGATCTGTCATGAATGTAGATCAAATTATTTGTTCTGGAAAAATTAATCAGCGCTCGGTCTGTTTACAGGAGCCAGAGTCAGGACAGGAATTAAATTAATGTAATGATGAAGTCATACCTTCAGTCTAAGTTTACATACTTTTAACTGTCTCACTACAGTGACACTGGGCGTTTCTGTTCATTGCATCTGTTTTTATTTTGCCATCTCATACAATAGATAAGCTGTTGTCACCATTCATGTTTTGTTTTCTTGACCACAAACGTTTGAAGCCATTGATTGCCTTAATATGACGCAGGATGCACATAGAAACCTATTATTTTCTTAGTATTTTAATGTCATTTATGTGTGTCTGTGTGTGTGTATGACAGCAGAAGAACACATGCCTTCCAGCTGCTGTGATTCATACATGAATGGAGATGGTACAGTCTGCATACAAAACCATCTTCTCCTAAATAGTCTGCTCAAGGAAACAATTACTTTGTACTTCAGAGAACCTTAACAATTTTAAGGTGGTTCAAAATTATAGAAACCAAAAGTCGGACTCATCAGTTATAAGACTTTTTGTTCCTGATCTCTGGTTCTTGTATAGTTTTTTCTACTTCTGCCGGTACTGTGCTTGATTTAGAATATTTTTATTTGCCACTGTTTTTCACCCTTCATATGACATGTGCTGTCCTTGACTATTAACCCTTGAGAAAACAATTCCAAAAAAAATCCTACTAACCTGAGTATTTTTTCTATTTTTGTATAGTTGTAAATGGATGATTAGGCATTTTTAGCCACAAGGAAATCATGTCTCAAATGTTTGTTGGAATGGTATTATAATTAAATTGTTAGCTGTCATGTTTGCAAAATAACCACTAGTTATCCTCAATAGATTTTATACCCTAAAGAAGTCAGTACATTTTTGGATGTAAAGAGAAAATATCGGCGCAAGATAAATAATTTCCTGTTTGTGTAGCATGTGATTAAAGAACGGCTTCGCATCTCATTTTTAACAACTGGAGAACATGTGTGTTCGTGATTGACTCTCTCAAGCTAAACACACAACAAGAGGAGTGGACTAAAACTCATGCTCTCCCGTGGAATATAGCAATATTTTAGGATCTAGCGCATAGTCCGGTGACATAAACCTCGCGGCTGGATTGATACAGCTACAAGTTTTTGTTTTGGACACAAACATACGTCTTTTTCATGTTTGACCTAAACATGTTGGTTTCCTAGTGCATCATGATGGCCTCTCAGACGCCAGTGGGTGTATTAAAAACAACTTTCCCTCATGATGGTCTGGCAAATGGCCTTTTTCCCTGACAACAAAGACAGTAAACAGCAGCACTTAGCGAGTGCTCAAGAGCCTAATTGCCTATTAAGCACAACCTAGCCCTCCTTTATCCTGCTGCCTCTGCTGGGGACTTCCATCCCTGGAGATGTAGCTTTACAGTAAACATAAGTGAGTTAGCCTGGCTATCTAGGAGGCTCAGCTGGACAGTGAGCTCTGCTGCCACACTCACCTCATACCAAAGCAAAACGGAGTCATGACCCTAGCATGTGCATTTTTTGTAGCGCTGCAGGGAGGAATCTTAGCTGTAGTTGGATATAAATCCAATCTTTCCCATGTTTTTCCACGTTTTTGCATTTTGCCTGGTTATGGATTCATTTTTGATGACTGAATGAGGTTCTCTTTCTGTGCCCTTTAGGCTTGACAGATGAGAAAGTGAAGGCCTACCTCTCAATGCATCCGCAGATGCTGGACGACTTTGTGTTGGAAAGCGTGAGTGCAGAGACGTTAGACAGATGGCTGAAGAGGAAGACCGACAGCAGCAGGCCTGCAGGTAATTCCTCTCTCTCTCTCTTTCTCACACACACACACCAGTGAGCCAAACATGGAAATGAAAACACACACAGACATGCTGCAGGTCTCTGGATTACAGTGGCATAATGATTGGATCAGCGGATTTCAGTATGTTGACGCACAGCTGTGAATTCTGTAATATGTCGCTGTGGTTCAGTGTTTGTACGTTTAGCTCACATAATCCTATTTGCGATCCTAAAACGTTGACCAAAATTACAGACTGGGATGAATATCCTCAACCAGTTCAGTCGATTATGTGTTTATTGCCCTGAAAACCATTTTCTTGAAGGGCCAAAACATAGAGACAGCCAGGGGAGTTTTGGGCGTATGTGAATACGTACTAAAAAATATGTGTTAAAAAAAAAAGAATGGGTTTGTCGGGTGTTTACGGGTCATTACGTCTGTTTGAGCCCATTTGGTGCAGTGAGCTTCACTCACAGCAGACTTTTTCTCAGACTAACTTCATCTATCAAGGGCCTACAGAGCTGGCACTGTGCCCAGTCCGGCTGCTGACGTCAGAGGCGACCTCCAGAGACATGCAACCGGCTAATGGGGAGGGAGGGAGGCAAGAAGGGGTGGAGACAGCGGTGGTGTTAGTGGTGTTGATAATGGAGGTGGTGGTGAGGGTTCGTACTGGTTGGTGCTGCCAGTGTGTGTGTGTGTGTGTGTGTAAGTGAAAGCAGAGTTGGACACTGGATGCATTTGTCACATATTGGAGCCTCGTTCTACATGAGCTTTACAGACAGGGGTGTTTATTGCTGCCTTGAGACACAGGTTTCACAGGTCTGATCCTGCATGTGAAAGCACTTTTAGCATACGCGTGTGTGTATGTATGTGTGCGTGCGTGTTCACGTTCTTGCTCTTGCCAAGTAGTAATAACTCTTTTACTCGTGCATTTGAGGTGAGAGCAGATGTAGTTTTGCAAGAAGAAAAATACAGATACTAAAAAAATAAACAAAGACATTTTATTTATTTTATTTATTTTAAGCCAATAAACCATACCACTCATCCCTACCAATGACTTAATTTGATATTTAATAATTAAATCTAAGTTGCCATATGATGTTAGCAGAGAGATAACACCCGCTAACATGATGCCACCGTAATTTCTGCAGGTCATATTTGTCCATCTAGACTCTTGTAGCACATACAGTACATTTGGGTCTTTTCTTTTACCAGGTTGGACGTGTCTTTCCAAATGCATTGTCCAGCTGTGCTCTATGAGCTGATGTGTTACTGAGCTGAATCAGAGGCCTGACTCAAACACCAGTAATCAGCTCGTCAGCTCTGTCACTCTGCCTCATGACTGATGCTGATGATCTTTAAATGACGTCACTTGACTAATTTTCCTCTTGAGTCCACTTCCTGTTTCAGCCCCCTGTGAGCCGACATCAGGGCACCACTGTCTGTCCTCACTCCATCTCCCTCCCTATTTGGCTGTCTGTGCTCAAATGACCCACACTGTCTAATTTCTCACTCATCACACAGACTTTATAGTCCCCGTGTTGAGTCCAGGCCTGAAATTTATTTGCCACACTCTCTACTGCACATTTGAAGGAAGTTGGACACGTTATGCATGACACGTTACAGCAACACATCCTGTCCTCATGTGTTTGGTTGCAGCAACACATCCTGTCCTCATGTGTTTGTGATTATCTTAGTGACCAATTATAGAAATGGTCACAATAGCTGCTTAAAACCCTAATAAAATAATCCTGCAAGATTTCCATGGCACATGCAATGTCTTTTGTGAAGGAAGATCTTGTTCCTATTGTTTGCCCATACAGGTTATGGCAATTAAATGTGTTAATAATGGTTACTAGGTGGCGCTTTGGCCCAGAGGCAATGTCTTTGTCATTGGTGTGGAACTCCAGGGTTCACCTCCTGGGCAAGTTCGAATCCCAGTTAGGGCAGTTGGTACCTTCCAGTGGACTCACCACCTGCAGGAAGGTTCAGGGGGGGTTGGTACGGTGCAATGTGATTTGGGTGGCGACTGCTGCCCCCGCGACCCGGTAACGGATAAGCACATGAAAATGGATGGATGGATGGATGGATGGATGGTTACTAGTTAGTTAAAACACAGATTAAATATAGAAACATAGATTAAATATCCAGAAGTAATTCCAGTATTATTAATAAAATTACACAACTTCTACAAATACAGCAAAGTTATTTATTAGCAAATGGCTAAAATATAATCTATGTTACCTTAAGTGTTAAGTGGTAGAAACAAATATGATTTGTTTAATATGATTTCAATTTTTTTTCTTTGGTCTACTAAATCTTGTCACAAAACTCTTTGACCTGACCTGGCAAATTAGACTATGTTTAATATTACTTTTTGTAAATCATAACATTTTCTCCACAAAATCTGTATTTTCTTCCATCCAACTTAAGAGTGCAAGAGCGGGACTGAGCTGTTTAGCAGCTGATACTGTTTCTCAGATGTGCTTGGATGGCAGTCACAAGAAAACAAAGATGTGCTTGTGCTGCAGAAACTCATACTCCGAGGATGTGATAAGATATCCGTCTTACCTGCAGGGCTTTCCATCAGATGTGGTGTGCAGAGCTGTGTGAAAGCAATGTTAAATGCTACAGAGGATAAGATAAGACTTGGAATCTGAACTGAAAGGGTTTTAATGAAAATTGTTTTTGTGTGTTCAGGAAATTTAAAGTCTCAGTCACAGGTTACACCCAGTAAACCCCTGTGATTAACTGAGAAAGACTACAAATCAGTTTGAAGGTTGAAATAGTTGCCTAGTTTGTTCTTTTGTAATATAACTTTCCTATTGATATCTTTGATATAAATTTAAATACCAATCGAGGCAGTGGGTAAATGTCAGAGCTTCAATCTGTTCATGTCACCCCTCACCAAAATAGATTTCCAGATTTTCTACCTATGTAATCGTGTCCCTAGTGCCAGCAAAATAACCAATGAAAAGGATGCTTGTTCTGAATATTCAAATATGTCAAAGTTAGCATTCTAATACAGGACCTGGGGAACAGCATTTAGATTCATGGTGGCAGTAAAGAGTAAAGATCTTGCCAGTTGAGGACACATGCAAAGGTAAAGAAAAAGACGAGGAGCAGGTCAATGCAGGACATCCACTCTGTCCACACGTATTGACCACTGAGTCACCGCTGAGCCGTGGGGGAGACTGTGTATCTGCAATGTCAGATCAATATAGCTTCTGTCAGAGTATCCTGCACATAACACCTGAGGGATTTTCACCTCCACACTGAGAGCCTACTACTGCTGTACTGCTGCTGGTGGTGATGATGATTATTGTCTTTGAAATGTTTCAAAGAGAGAGTTGAAATCCAACAGTACATACTTATTGCAGTGAATGTAGAACCCTATGATCCTACATGCTGCGGTTTCTTTAAATCGCCATAGAGTCAAGCTAAAGGCAGATTGGTTCAACTATTCAGTCATGATTAATTGCCGGATTTCTTTAGTTAACTCATGGGTAGTCACTAATTAGTGGCATGTTCTTTATGTGTTCTAAATATACCTTAAGATGTATGAGTATATAATAGACAGGAGAGGAGAAGGTTGGGAAATATATGACCTTCATCAAATGTCTGTTCATTTTTAGGCCTCAGTACAAAACAAGGACAAATGTACTTCAGAATAAATATACCATGTAATATATATGCATATACCATAGTAATGGTCTTAGAGGAACAAGTGATGAAAGAATAATTATATTTGTATAAATATGTTTAACATTATATTTTTACATAATTTTCTTGCAATTCTTTTTTTTAATTCCTTCATTTGTATTAATAATGAAAATGTACCTCGATAAGTCATAGTCTTATTTCAAATTTCAATTTCAAACTGACCAGCTTTGAAGAAGAACTTTATGCAGGAGAAATGTCAATTATGATGAACTCCACATCTTGACCAAATAAAGGAGGTGAAAAATAAACAGGCGGAGGACATACAAATGATGTCACATGATTGAGGAGTGTTCCAGTTGCTTGGCAATAATGTTCAACCTTTATTGCATCATGAAGTTGCTTTACATTTTTTTCAATGAACACATTGGCCCTTTGCTTCCATGTTTACTGAAAGCACAGCAGCTACCTAAAAATATGGGATGGCATTAGAAGAGGCTAGTGGTAGTTGTGCTGGTCATGTTGACCACAATGTGTCCAAATGAAACACACACACACACACACACATCCACAAGCACACACCTGTATACATGGCATTCCTTTCCTCTCCGGCCTTCAGGGATAACTGTATCAGAAGGCTTAACCCCCAGACAGTTACCTGATGAAACGATCGTGTTGTTGTTTCCAAGCAGGTCAAACGGAGAGTTTCAGTTATGTATGCTTAAGATAAACTGCTGATGGTGCTGAAAAGGCTATTTGTCACACATTTGAACACCTGCTCCATCAGCAAAAGCTGGGCCAAACATCCAACACAGTATATTTGAGGTCAAGAATTGAACTTTATTTTTTACAGGAACACTTTTGTCCCAATAAAACATGCATCTAGGTCATTTCCAGATCAGTTTTAGTTAATGTTGACATTAAATGCCCTAAAAAATATTATATATTCACCACTTTTCGCCTGAAAATGTGCTAACCAGTGAATGTAACCTTTGGCTTCTTGCTTGGCGGAGTTGTGTGTCTCAGACCTGAGATATGGATGGAGCCGTCTGTAGTGTGCAGTGTACGCCTGAAAAAGTGTTCACCTGGTTTCAGAAGTAACTCTATATGACTATAATTCTAGAAGGAAATGAGGCTCCTTCTCACTTAGTCTACGGTGTGTTTACAGTGTCTAGTGTTGTTTTTTTTCAGTTGAACACAATTGTTTCATTATTAATGGTCATATCATGCTTTGTTGTTCACTTTCCCAGATTATAATTTACAAAATTGACACACTGTTTTCGGTAAAAGCGGAACACTGTTTAATTCTTTCTGACATGTTAAACCTGTGGGGAGTATTATTAAGTATTATTTTCATATGGACCACAATTCTCTCAGACATACTTACCAAACCAGTGGAGAATTTTGATTCTCTTTCTAGGGATTTTTCTCACACTCTGGAAGGAGATGTCTTCATCGTCATTCTGTTGTTAGCGATGACGGGCTGGGTCCTCTTACACTGTCTGTAAAGTCTATAGTTGTTATTTTTTCTTCAGTAAATCTAAAGGCCACTTGCCTGCATCTCTCTCTCACAGAATGTATCTGGATCTGTTGCTTTACCTAACTTGGTCTCTTGCTACAGTTCCTTGTTACGCTGTAGTCCCCTGGGCATTTTCAGTATGAAGACACAGTTGAGACACAATCCCTGACAGGATGAACCCCTCTGGGAAAAAAAGCCCATTCAGTGTTAAGTGATGAGGTTCATACCATACATATACTGTACGTGTAATATACTACCAAGAAAATATGCTCAAAATTATAAATTATATATATATATTATAATATAATTGATACTTGATCCACTGTTTTTCAGGCTGAGTACAAAGCATTGTGAAATTATGTTGTCAATTTAAGTCCTTAGAATAATTAGACTTTGCAGTAATACTAGAGGTAATAATACGGTAGGAATTAAGAATAAGAAATACTCTGTAATCTGTAATCTCCCTAAAAACGTTTAAATTAGCCACTTACCAATTAGGAGCAGCAAAGCCTACACCAAAGCCCAGTGCCTTATGGTCTATGTGCAAAAATTAGTTGAATCAACACAGGTGGAATGAGTTTAGCTGTGAGCTGGAAGAGGATGCTGCAAACATTTTTTTCTTAGGTCAGTAAAGTCAGGTCAAGTCCATCAATGGACATCACAGTTTTAAAATTACAATTGAAATTAAACTCATAAAAACCCATATAAAACATGGAGGAATGTACATTATATACACTCAATGTTTATATCAAGTTGAAATAACAATACAAAGTAAAGGAGAAAAGCCTTCACCTGTGGGTGTAATTGTAATTGCGAACAGCTCCAAAGGTTTTAGGACATTTATCACTATGATGTGTTGTTTTCAGTGCACACTGTGCAATACTTTCATTTTTATCACAGTTCAAATGTGTTTAAGCAGTGTTTTGTCCAAAGTTAACACATATGTCATATGGCAAGATTTTTGTGTGCAAGTTTACAATGTGTATTATCTGCCTGTATCGAAACCATTGTTCCTCACATTTGTACCCACTATAGCTAAGTAGCTAGTACCGCCAGGGGCAATTGTGTGGTTTGAATAATTTATGAAATTTCCATTTCCATGTTGAGATGATAACTATCAGGCCAAGTGGAAGGCAGTGTTAAAGTGACAGTGAATCCATGTAAAAGTGGTTGTTTCAGTTTGTTTGTTGACCTTGTGAGAGACAGGTCACAGACAGCACTTGTTGAGTCCCACTACCTAGGAACTTTAACAACTACCGCCTTAGAAGATGATGGAGTAAAATGTGATGCTTCCCTACATCTCAGTGTTTAATTTGAGGTATTTTAAAGCTGCTCTTTTCTAATAGTACCACTCTCAGATTTGTCTTTCCAGTGGGCCCAGATATTTTTGGCTTCAACAAATCATGATAAAAAATGTTTGCGGGTTTTCAAAGGAGTTTGAAGTCTTTTTCAAGTGCAGATCCCTGTCCGCTGATTGACGTCATTCCCGGCCGGGGTTCACACTAAAATAGCTCTCACAGCTAAGTTAGGAAACTCATAGCATTCTGGAAGAATGCTTAAAACAACAAACATCAGAGCTGGCTGTAATGTCTTTCTACAAACTTACACAGGGGTTAGTATTAGAGCAGGACCAACTCACGTCAGCAGCAGATTTTACCGAAATCTGCTGTGCGTTTCACGTGGGCAAATTAAAAAACTTTTCAACGACATCTGAGGAGTCGGTGTTCCTGTCTGCTGTTGACCCCTGTGTAACAAAGCACTGCTCCGGCTGTATGAATGGTTGTATTCTGATCCCAAGAAGTAATTCCAGACCTGCTCCAATACTTTACGACCAGAGTCTGTTATGATTGGCAGGGGCTATCATTATTATCACATTCTTCAGTGTCCACATCCAAAGACAATAGTCATATGTCTACCGTCTCTCCAGCAGCCTGAAATCACACCAAGAATTTGTACTTGGGACCACAGCATTTTGTACTTGTCAAGTTAAATCAATTCTTCTCTTAATTCTGTTTTTTAAAGGAAAATATTTGACGTAAATGTAGATTTTGTTGCTGCCCACAATTTATGCACGATGAGTTGCACTGCTCTAACGTCAGCATATTTTTGCATTGACGACGTGCCCCTTTATCTGACTGCTCTTGTTAACACAACATCTGGTTTTGCTTACCTGCCGCATGTAGTGCAATGTCATCATAATGAAAAAGAACCAGACGTCAGTGATGCTCACAGATGGTTTTCACCTTAAAATGCAAAAACAAAAAAAATAAAAACTCCTCCTTCATGTATGTGTGAGTTCACAGATGCTGAGTTATCTATCATGGATGAGTGATTTTGATCAGGGACTGTAGAAACAGAGGGGATTTGTCTTTTATCGCTTTAACAGGCCATTAACACAAACAAAGCCTAGATCAAAACCTGCCTGGGGGCGGGGGGCTTCCGTTCAATGTCACAATAGAAAAAAACATTTAAAGAGATTAAAACATTGTTTTAAATTAGTTAAATCCCCTATTTTGGTTAAAACCAAATAATTCTGAGAATTTTGATAGTATATTTCTGTTTAGGGATTAACAATTATTTACTAGAACAAAAAATAGAAGTCAGTCACTGATGGCTGGCCATGAATATAGCTCTGAGCCTTGGAATGGAAATAAGAGTATGTGGTTTATTCACCTTTGAAATATGTGTACTATCCTAGCCACAAGCTTTTTTTTAAAATATAATTTTTAATTATTTTTACTAAATATGTTTTCTCTCTCTCTCCCTGCCTTTGTAGATGACACATCAGCTAAAGAAGTCAGCAGGGTAGGTTTTCTGCTAAGTTCTATGTGTGAAATTACATACAATAAAAGCCATTTGAAAACAATTTGTGCAAAATATTTCTAGCATGAATGTACTGTCTAGTTCTATGATAATGCATTGTTGATAATTATTATTGTTGTTTTGTCCATAATCTGTTGTTTACAATAATATTTTCTGACCAAAACTTAGACCTTGTAACTTGTTGATACACAAACATTTCAATTGAATCCAAAAGTTTTTGGTCCAAAATGAAACAAAACAATGATCTACTTTGTTACACCAGCTTAATAGTAGTAGGTAACTAGAAGCTTGAACATAAGATAACCCATTGATTGAACTAATGGTTGATTAGCCACTGTGTAAATGTCATAGTACATAAAGTGGAAAAGAATAAATACGTATTCCACATCCCCTGTGTTCCACATGTAGTAGTTAGATTCACACCTCTGACAATTTGACACCTTTGTGCTCCCATGAGGCCAGATATGAGCTCACGCTGCAGGGCCATGTGGTTGCTTAGAAGAGACTTGACACACATACGGGGGGTGGGGGGGTGGGGGGGGGCACTTGACCCCTCAGTGCGTCATCCATACGTCTGTGCAAACAGGATGTGGGAGGGCTGACGAAGTCCCACTGGGCCTTGTAGTGCGCCATCTCTCTGCCATTCTGTCTTCAGCTGCTCTGCAGGAGCAGAAATTGATGGTTCCCGGGACCAGTATACACAGGATGTCTGCCTCTTACACAACAACGTTTATAACCCACTCTGAGATGAGGCTGAGCGTCAGAGCTTACAAAGTCTCTAATCAGAGTGGCGGGGCTTCAGTGGGCCCCCTCTCGGGACAGTGGGAGATCGTGGGGCTAGAATGCAATCATGAAAAGAAGCATACGGGTGGGCTGAAGGGTAATGTAGTGATGAATGGTGCAAGGACCAATGTTACAGTCCTGCTTTTTGAATCAATGCATCTCTGCAGCAGGAACATTAGTGTAGCGGAGATACAGGGTGTCTTCTTTCATTTTTCTTACTTGTGACTCCTGCTGACTCGGGGAAATTCAATCTTAGGGTTTACGTAGGACGAAAGAGTTGCAATTTACTCTGTGTCTTCTGTCCAGCAGTACCAGGACACAAATATGCAGGGTGTGGTGTACGAACTCAACAGCTACATGGAGCAGCGACTGGACACTGGAGGAGACAACAAACTCCTGCTCTACGAGTTGTGCAACATCATCAAAACAGGTAAAAAAAAAAAAAAGGCAGAAACAGGTCGTAAAACATGTTCAAAAATGTCTGTTGATCGGAAATTGCCCTAATTCCAAGCCAACCTGGTTTAAATTTGTTTGTAAGTTTGTATGTCTTCTTTCCCTTCGGTCTGTTTCTTTGGGATGATTAGTGTAATCACATTCACCTGTGTCTCTTTGGTAATCAGTCTCACTCGTCTCACCTGGTGTCCTGTGTATATCAACCTCTTCCTCTTACTCAGTCCTTGTCAGTTCATTGTTCAAAGTTTGCTGCCCTGTGTGATGTCATGTTCACTCCTGTGAGCTCTTCCTTGTTTCTGGGGTTTGTTTCAAGTTGCTTGTTCTTGCTCGGCCCCTCTAAGTTTGGTTATTGTTGGATCCTTTGAATAAACTGCTTGTATCTGATCTTGGTCTCTCAAGTACTGCATTTGGGTCCTATCTGCTACCCTGGGTGCAGTAAATGTACTTTTCTTTTATGAACATTACATGAGAAACGTGGATATCCGTGCACCATGCTAAATCCCTTTCTACGATAATCTACAACATAGTAATGCCAGTCCAAACCAAAAGTAAGCAAAAATGTAGCATAAAGCTAATTTTGTTTAAAAAACAATAAATTACCTGAAGTTTACATATAGTTTGGAGAGTAGTAGTAACATATATTTAAAAGAGGGCAGAACACAATATCCCTTCTACCATTTACCCATGTTGCCCATGTGGGTCAAATGTAGTCTCAAAGGTGTGGACCACATGGGTTTGATCATTAGTTCCATGTGATAACCACCATTTTCATAGTTCATCGTTGTCTTCACTGTACCCCAGCTTGGCTGTGAAGTTGGATCAACTGCCCTCGCAATAATTCAAATGCCCTGAGAACATGTTCCTGCAGGGCAGAAGTGCCCTCATTAAATACAGTGGGGTTGGTCAATGGCCCCCAGACTGTATTATAAACAAAAACTCAGATGATCTGATCTTCACCATTACTAATTTACTAATTTGTGGTTTTGTTGTTAATATTAGATGATTCTGTGTTTTATGTGGTTCTTACTTACACAACCCTGGCAATGACTTCATTTTATTACTATTTTAGGATGACATTTGTTTTCACCTTATGTATTATGGAAACACCAGAGCCGTTGATTGAAGTTTGACATTTTGTAATCTTTACTGAGTAAATCCTGAAGAGTATTAGTTTATCAAGAACACACAACTGAATAAACCAGTGATGATCTTGATAGCCAGAGCTGCTCCAACAGTGTCTCTGTTGTCACGTCCTGTGATAACTTGACCTAAATACTTGTGAAATAGGGCTGGAGAGGAGGACTGGGAATAAGACCAAGTGAATGACAGTCAAACCTTGGGTTACAGTGCCCTTCTCATTATGTGGGACACTCCTAATGGATTGTTATCGGACTGAAACTGGACTTTGTCTTCTTGTCATTCTTAAAGTGAAAGTATGCAGTTTGGTTCAACATCGAGCATTTAGCTCACAGGAGGTTCTCACACACATTTGAAAGACCTGTCCTATGACACAAGTGTTCCAGTACAATTTTTGTAAAACCTTTTCCCATAACAAATACATATAGGATGATTACTTATTATCCACTTGATTAAACAAAAGACACGCTAAGAGGCTACATGCATGCGGCTGTGATTCTACAGCAAGTCAAAAAAAACAAACATGTTTTTTGTTTTTTTTAATCTGTCCAAATATGTAGGAAAAACATTTTATTGAACAGTTGAAACTTTGACTAGAGGGTGGTCTTACTACACTTGACCCTTAATTTATCCCGTTGTCCAATGGCGAAAAAAAATAAACCACTGCTAGTTTGCGGTTTCACTGTTAGCAAGACAGCTAATACATGTACATCTACTTTTATATGAATATGTTAAATATGTCTCTCATGTTTCTACAGCAACGAAGGCTGATGGATTTGCACTTTATTTCTTGGGAGAATGCAACAATGTAAGCTGAAATGAGTATATTTGTCCAATAATACAGCTATATATTTCACACTGTGCTATATTATTTTTTTTGTTTTGTTTGGGTGTCTCTTCACTAGAGTTTATGTTTGTTCACTCCAACGGGGGCTAAGGATGGCCCCCCAAGCCTCATCCCCTCTGGCCCCATCACATTAGGAACAACCATTGCCGCTCACGTTGCCAAGACTCGTAGAACACTGCTAGTAGAAGACATCATAGGGGCAAGTCTTCTTTTTTTGTTTTGGGGAAGGGGGGGTTACAAATCAATTATTGAATACTTCTCTTTGCTTTTTGTTTTGTGTTATCTGTTTTATTGTAGTCAGCAACTTAAGTGTCTAATAATAATTCGTTGTAGTTTGTGGTCAATATAAATGTGAGATTATGGTGTTATTGTAAACACTTCTTTACTTTATATATATATATATATATATTCTAAATATTAGTAATAACTATTATAAAAAATTTAACTGGCAGAGAAAAGGATGGAAGGTTCCCACTAGGAAAAAAAAAATTAGGATTGTCTTGTTTTTACCTTTTCATCTGACTTTTGCAGGATGAACGATTCCCCCAGGGCACAGGGCAGGACTCAGGGATCCACGTTCACTCTGTCCTGTGCCTCCCCATCCTCACTGCCATCGGGGACCTCATTGCCATCCTGGAGCTGCAGCGGCACTGGGGCAAGGAGCCCTTCAACCTCAGCCACCAGGAGGTCAGTCTGACCCAGACAAAACACAGCAAGAGTGGGAGGCTGGAGCAAGGCTCACAGAACGACAGTTAGCCTGGTATTCACCTTAATCTGGATCTGTTTAAGATCTCTCTCAGCTGTGTGGGGTGCACTTGGAAACTAATGACAATGTTTGGTCTGGTTGAGCTTCTGCTATGTGCTGATGAAATACATTCTGATGAATAAAACTGCAAAGAGCTGGAAAGCTTACAAAAGCCTACTGTAGCTCAACGTCAACAAGGTTTAGTCACAGTTTATAAGCCAACTGTGTTCAAAGGCTGGGGCAGGAGCCAGCCATGGCACGTAGACTGTTGTTTTTGTGGTCTTTGAAGCAGTCAAAATCATTTCATGGCCTACCATGATTAATGTATTTTCTATTTAAATGTTACAATTGAGATCTTGTTAATCTTCAACATTTTTTAATAAATGGTTTGGGCTTTAACTACTGGTTAGTTGGGCCAATAACGTCACTAGTTATGATGGCAAAACATTTTTTTAAGAAATACATTTGATCTATTTGGCAACATTTGACTAATCTGACCCAACCTCACTTGACATTTGGCTTAAAAACACACTTTAAGTTTTGCTTTAGTTTCTAGTCTTTTTTTTGTGTGTATAATTTTTGAAAACCTGACAATAGCCTGGTGTTGAAATGGATCAGTCCAAACAGAATCCCTTTCATGTTAATGTAGAACTGTGGCGGTAGAACACATCAATTTACAGATCTAAGATGAATAGATACAGCGAAGCAGCATCATGATGACCTGTGCTGTGGTCAACAATCATGGTGGGGGGGGGGTGATGTCACACTTAGCAACTATTCTTAAACTTTTGCAGCTGGTCCATTACTCCTGTTTCACTCGCAATATTAATTCCATTGGATCCACAATGTCATAAGAGTCAACAATGGTGTGACGTTGACTTTTCTGTTTCCTTCAAACCCATTTTTGTAAACTGTGCTTTGTCTTTTTATTTTTCAGGTTGCAACAGCAAACTTAGCATGGGCTTCGGTTGCTATTCATCAAGTACAGGTGAGCAAACTGTCACTGAGGCCTGGTCGGAATGTTAGGCTGCAACTCTTAAACACCACTAAAGGGCTGTCTGGGAACAGAGAGAAGCCTTCCTGTCCCGCTTATTTTGATCTCTGTTGGTTTTGTTTGTTCTGGTTCTGCACATGTGTTTTTAACTGCTAAATCCACTGTGTACAGGAACTGGGTTGTCACTGGGCCCAGTCCAATCAACTAAGCCATAGATTCAACAAACACCTCCCTGAGGACGTCATTATGGCCCAGTGCTGTTTTCATTTCGAACAGATAGCATAACACCTTAGAGAAGCCATGTCCCACTGCAGCACTGTTTAGCCGCTCACTGCAAAAACACTCTGTTGTTACTGACACTCATGTTGGTGGCCCACAGCCAAGTGTGTAGACAGCAAGTCAATGTGTTTACAGTACATGGAGGATGCTGCATATGCTCTGTGGAAAATGGTTCATCCCTTCGGCAGATCATGACCTACTGTATATGTCTTCTTTTTTGTTTTGTCTCTAGGTGTGCAGAGGCCTCGCCAAACAGACTGAACTGAATGACTTCCTACTAGATGTGTCAAAGTAAGAGATGCTGATCAGGCAGTTATTGCACAGCAAAAAAACCACAGTATTTTGTACATAGTACTACATAGTAGTTAAAGTTAACATATTTTTTTATACGTTTTGAAAAATGAAATACAATACCATCGTGTGTCTTATATTGCTTGCTGTCTTCTTTTATTTCTTTAGGTTGCATTAGTGCCGCCTACTGGCTTTATTTATGACTGTAAAAAAAAACTTACAGAATTGTTCCTGTGTGTGACCAAAGCATTGATTATGGAGGGGATTCAATTTATATTAATCACTTCAATTTGTCCTTGCCGGGGGGAATTCTCCATTAGGTTACCATTGAGTCATAAAGTGAGAATAACAATGGCAGCAACATGTTTTCATGTCTTGAATGTAAACGTCATCAAAGCTTCTCATTTGTCAAACATTTGAATGGACCATTTCTTCTTTTCTCACAGAACATACTTTGATAACATTGTGGCAATAGATTCTCTACTTGAACACATTATGGTGAGTGTGATTCCTGTGTTCATTCACATTGTCCTCAGTGCTGCACATTACGAGTGTGGTTTCACTTCTGTTGTTATGCACAAATACACTAACACATGACATCGTAGAGTCGAAGTGAAAAGTGACGCAGTGTTTTACAGTCTTTTCATGAGGAGGGTTTTTTTTAAGTCGCAACAAAAATAAAATCTTGTCTGAAACAAAATGTAATTATCTATAGTTTTGTTTCCCAGATTTAAAGGCCACACTTTGGTGGTTGACTGATATTCTTTTCATGATTTATTGTTTTAATACTGTATTTATAAAATATACAATTTAATGTCAGACTTAGCCTGTCATCTAGAAACATCTTCAAACATTTGTCCTCCCCAGAACCATTCTTGATTATTACAAATGTTTCACTCATTGAGTCATTTTGTAGTCAGTTGGTCATCAAGTGTGTTTTGTTGTCTTGTGACTATGGGGTTATCTGAGGATGTTCAAGTCATCTGGTGTAAAGAGAGAAACAAACTGGAATGACTCTTGGTCTTACTGTGGCTTTCTAATCCTCTGTGTTTAACTGTTCCATTTGTATGAAACAATTAAATCTGACTTGAATTAAGTGGGACGTGAAGACTTTGTTTATCCAGATCTTATAATCCTCAGTGGTGCTAATAAGTTATGTCCCTGTTGTTTTTCAGATATATGCAAAAAACCTGGTGAATGCAGACAGATGTGCACTCTTCCAGGTTGATCACAACAATAAAGAGCTGTACTCGGACCTGTTTGACATTGGGGAGGAGAAAGAAGGCAAACCTGTCTTTAGGAAAACCAAAGAAATAAGGTTTGTGGTGTCTACCTTTTTTTGTTTCCAGCGTTTGACAACATGTGACCAGACACTCAAATGTCCTTGCTTGCTGTCTTTGTTAGGTTTTCTATAGAAAAAGGAATAGCAGGACAAGTGGCCCGAACAGGAGAAGTTCTTAATATCCCAGATGCCTATGCAGATCCAAGGTTTAACCGGTAAAGTAACTGATTAGTTAAATATTTTTGCCGACTTCTCAACAGATGTTAATGCTAATATGATATAATATTAACTATTTTCTTTGTCTTCTCTAACAGAGAGGTGGACCTCAAAACTGGTTACACCACCCGAAACCTCCTGTGCATGCCCATCGTGAGCAGGGGGACTGTTATAGGTGTGGTGCAGATGGTAAACAAACTAAGCGGATGTGCCTTCACTAAAACAGACGAGAACAACTTTAAGATGTTTGCTGTCTTTTGTGCTCTGGCCTTACACTGTGCAAATGTGAGTATATAACGTTAGGCCGTGACAGTGAAATTGTCTCCGTGTGCACTCAAATTATAGTTACAAGTGCAGTGCAGCACAAACATCTTTCTAATTACAAGTGTATCTGTTATTATTCCTATTTATGTGTGTTCTCGTGTGCAGTGCATACTATGAACAAATGATTGTTCTAAAAATAAAAAATACTAGACAGCTTAGACATTATTGGGGTCATAATCATAAACCTGACCTCAGTGTGACCCACACCAAACCTACCTCACCAAATACTGGCTCGTGGCTCTCTATTGGCCAAGTTTACCGGATGATGAAACAGGACTGTAAAGACATTAGTCTGAACCAAAGCTTCTTATTCATGACAGAGATGATTTTCTGTCTGTTCAAAGCCGTTTCTCTTGGTGCGACCTGGCTCAGCATCATCTCCTGCAACAAACTTGACGCAGGAGCAGCGTCACAAAGTTGGCCCGTACACTGACGAGGCATGTTTAGGTTTTTAATACAAGGAGTCTGCATTTGTCCACTGACAGGATTTATGTTTTGATGTAATTTATGCTCTGAGTCTCTAGGAAGCTGACAGACCAGCTAGTGATTTATGGTGATTTATCATGTAAGTTTGAAGGCTTGGCGCCTGTACCTGACTGTTTTATTCCTGTGCGTCTGGGAAGGTGACAGGGATACAAACCAGATGTGAAGACGTACATTTAAAATACGATGCAGCGCTGTTGTGGATCGCGTAACTCTGTCTGACCTTTATTGATATGCTCGTAGAAAAACTTGAAAATCATCATATTAATTTTCTTTCTTTCTTTTTTTTTGATGTCCATAGATGTACCACAGGATCCGGCAGTCTGAATGCATATACAGAGTAACGATGGAAAAACTGTCTTATCACAGCATCTGCACGTCAGAAGAATGGAAGACTCTTTCTCAGCTCAACCTCCCTACACCCATTTATAAAGAGATTGAAATGTGAGTTACCGCACAGGTCTGTCTGAATTTCGTGGAAAAGCTCCCAATGTTAGGATGTCAATTCAGCACGTAGAGAGAGAAGAAATGTTGTGTGTCGTGCAAATTTAAGACTCTTCTGTTGTCCTTTTTTCTTTCTGCAAGGTTTCACTTTGATATCAGTCCCTTTGAAGAGATCTGGCCTGCAGTTTTCATCTACATGGTCCATAACTCCTGTGGAAAGACCAGGTAGAGTATGTCAAGACTTTGAAGTTACCAGGTTATTACCGTAAATTTTGTATTGTATCAGCTTTCCACCAAAAATGATGTCTGCCAGACTTCTCCATCCATTTTCATCCATTTTCATAGCACAGTCTGTAGTTTAATTTTCTACACTTTTTTTAGTCAGTTTGTTTCTTTTTTTCTTAATGTAGCTTTGAGCTGGAGAAATTGTGCCGGTTCACTATGTCTGTGCGGAAGAACTACCGACGTGTGCCCTACCACAATTGGAAGCACGCCGTGACGGTGGCACACTGTATGTATGCCATCTTACAGAAGACCACTGGGACGTTCACAGAGCTGGAGGTTTGTTTGTTTGTTAGCTTGACATCGGTTAAGGTGATGTTCAAGGTTACTGAGATAGATTTTATTTAAAATAATCTTTTCCTTTACTGACTCTGCTTTACAGAAGAAAGGTCTGTTAGTCGCTTGTCTGTGTCACGACCTGGACCACCGGGGGTACAGCAATGCCTACCTGCAGAAGTTTGACCATCCGCTGGCTGCTCTGTATTCCACCTCCACCATGGAGCAGCACCACTTCTCTCAGACTGTCTCCATCCTGCAGGTAGAGCTCTCCATTCAGAATGAATGAAGTCATTACACTTTCAGTTGGTTGTTTGTGCTGAAACAAGATCTGGATACACAGGAAGTAAATAAAGACTTTCACACGGTGGACAGAGAGAGAAAAAATGAGTCTCAGAGTTTCTGAGAAAAGTTTCCAGTTGTAATGATTTTCTACAGGGGAAAACTCCCTAATGACCAGTGGCTCCTCCTGTTAAACTTCAGACTCTAATATTCTAATATTGATCAACGTTCATCCATCCATTATCTACTGCTTAATCTTTTGTTTTTCATATTATTTTGTCACATTTCAGAGTAATCTTAATTAAGATATTAATTAAATTAAAATTTAAGATACTGTTTGAGCTAATATTTGCACAAAGCACTAAAGTAATATCTAAAAGTTAGTCACAGTTGCTAACATTTAGCAAAAAAAAAAGTCACCAGTCCTGGTAATGATATGGTTATTGAGATTAAATATAGACCAAGACTGATTTTGAAAGACTAATCATTCTTGTCTTCAGTGTCACTGTTCTGTGATGATGAGCTGGGATGACCTGAGCCTGACCCTGAGTCTAATCTGAGATTACAGCCGTCTGTAGTCTAGCTGAGCTGAACGCCTCATAAGTGGAGCTTTTGCTTTTTTATTGATCTCTTTGTTTCTCATAGCTGGAAGGGCACAATATTTTCTCCAACCTGAATTCCAGTGAGTACGAGCAGGTGCTGGAGATCATCAGGAAGGCTATCATCGCCACCGACCTGGCCCTGTACTTCAACAACCACCAGCAGCTGTCGGAGCTGCTGCTCTCTGGTGGGCTGGACTTCAACAACCACTCCCACAGGTGAGGTTGCCCGTCATCACAAGAATGACGTCACTTTTCATACCGTCACTCAGAGCCTTACAATAAAGATCACATTTACTCTCTGTTCGTGGCCGTAATGACGCTGTGCTCTCCTCCAGGGACCGTGTGATTGGTCTGATGATGACAGCATGTGACCTGTGTTCTGTTACCAAGCAATGGCAAGTCACACGACTCACAGCCAACGACATCTACGCCGAGTTCTGGGCAGAGGTACACGGTTGTCTTTCAAACGGTTGTCTCATGAACTTAACAAAACAAAGATCAACCATTTTTTGTCTGTTGACAGGGTGATGAGATGAAGAAGATTGGGATGCAGCCCATCCCTATGATGGACCGGGACAAAAAGGACGAGGTTCCGCAAGGACAAGTGAGACAAACACTTTTGATCACGTTTTCTCTTTCTCATTTTCATTCTAATTTGTAGAAAAGTCCCTTCGTAGGTGAGAAAGTGAAAGTAAAATGAATAAAAGAGAGAAAATAATTAATCCTTCAACAAAACTTGTTAAAGTTACAACTGACAGGAAGTTACTATTGTTATCACAAAGCAACATAAGTTTAAGAAAATCACTAAAACAACAATGGTCACAGTGAAAGCTTCTTCATCATGCTTGATTACACACAGGAATTTGCATTTATAAATAATATCCTGCTGTAATAAAATAATTCATACATCCAATTAAACAGTCTTTTACCGTTTGTTTTGTGTTCTTGTGTCTTTTATTTTAAGGTGGGTTTCTACAATGCTGTTGCGGTTCCATGCTACACAACATTAGCAGAACTTTTCCCTCCGTCCAGTCCTCTTCTAAAAGCCTGCAAGTAAGTCTTTACAGCTTAATATTTCATTTAGTAGGGGGAGGTCAATATGTGAAACCTATTTCAGAACACCAACACATCACACTACACTTGAAATCACTGTTCTCTCATATTCTGACTAAAATGTTGGCTGCAGTTTCTTCTGACCAAACAAACAAGATTAGGTGTGATAAGTGGTGTGTGATTCTCTTAATACCCAAAAACAAAACACATGCATCTGATTCTGTGTAAATAAACCTGTGCTGCAGCTTCCTATGATCTGATTAGTTGCAAGATTAAATATAAATAGTACACTGCTTCAAAAATGGTTTCAAATTAGGGTGCAGAAGTGTGTGTCTGTGTGTGTGTGTGTGTGTGTGTGTGTGACGCCAAAATGTGTGTGATGAGTAAATTATTGTTAGAAAGTCTTATCTTTCAGCAGCGTCTGACTGTCTTATACTTCATCTCTTCCTGCTGGGGTTACCCACTGCTTTCTAAAAACGCTGCAACCCCGCTCTGTGGGGAATGCAAACAAAGTGAGCGGGGTATTATTTAAGCACAGGCAGTACGTCAGCACCAGGATCTGGGTGGGCAGCAGGCCCAGACCCGGTGGAGCCCGGCTGCTTGTTGTGGGATTTGCCACAGATGGGTAAACTACATCAGGCTGGTTAATTGAAAGGAATGGCAGCGAGAAGATCAGAGAGTTCTGCAGTCATATGTCAGGCTTCATTTTAAGGGAAGGTGACTTCCATAACTGTGTAAATCAATTACACAGACTTCTCTGGGATGGTTTAATTTGTTTTCATTCATTATGTACCATTGATGGACTTTGTAGGGAGTTTAATGTGAACTTTTGAAATTATCTGTACAGGTTTTCATTGAAACCCACTCTTTTGGGTTTGGGTTAAAATCAGGCTCAGTGTCAGCAGCTAAAGAGGAAAAAAGCAAAAATGTTTCATTGCAGAACTTCCCGGCTTCTCAGTGGGGGGGGCTGTAATTACAGCTGTAAAACCCTGGCCGATGACATGAATGTGTTTTAACAACATTAACTCAAGTTTTCTAACTAATAGTACAAGTGCATTTGTAGTCATTTAAATCAATCAACAGTTTTGTGTTGATTATATTTTTCTTCATCGCATTTGCACTTTTCATGTTTCATTCTTTAGGCCTCATTACTGCTACCTATTGGTACACAATACTTAACACACCGACTTCTTCTCAGTACTTCTCTGCTGTTGTTGACACTGTCAGGACTGAAGGGTTTTTCAGCAGCTGAAAAAGAGCCTCATTTGAAAAACCCACTGTTCCATTCCACACAGATATTTCTATTCAATTACAATGACAAATGTATGAGCTGGTGTATTATGGTCCTGAAAACAGATGTGCAGAATGACGTGTTCTGTCTCTGCAGGGAGAACTTGGGCCAGTGGGAGAAGATTGCACGAGGTGAGGTGGAGGATGTTGTGCCTACTCGAACTCGTGATTCTGGCCCTGTCAAGGTGGACAACTGAGTACCAAAGGGGTTCCTGGCCCACCAAAGGAACAGAACCTGCATCCTGCCACGGCCCTGGAATTTTGTACTTTTAAGAGGAGGAGGAGCCCACATCGTGAGCGAACAACAGCTAAATCAGCTTAAGGCAACTTGACTTTACAAAAACACACGGTTACCTCATAGGGTGACAGAGGTGTCAACACTGGCAGTTTCACCAATCACACAGACTGACTGACAGCTGATGGAACTAAGGGACTTGACACGTGACCCTGCGTCCACTCAGTTTGAGAATTTATTTGGTAGAATGGACCTGTGCTTGTTTTGGTTGTTTTATTATTATGTGTCATTTCTTTGACTCTTTTATGGTCTTGTATTTGCAGAGGCCTTACTCTGAACCTTTTGCAGGCAATATGTGAAATCCTGTTGACGATTCAACAAGATTCAACTTTATTTTATTTTTTTAAACGGTACTGTTTGCCTTCTGTGGTAGGTTTATCGTACAGGCACTACTTCAGCAAACGTTTCCCAGAGACAGAAGGAATGTGTAGAGCAGATGTATGGTGAAATGCTGCCTTAATTAGAAGGTGGTTTTTCAGATTTTATTTTATTTTTTTAACACTTTTAGAGCAAAGATCCTTTGCAGTACTTGAAAAAAATAGTGATACAGCCTATTCTGGGAGATCGCAGGAATCCCCCTGCAGCATATTTCACGAAAACGTGGATGAACTGTGATGAAATGAGTTTGATAATGTTGACATATCTGAAGGCAATCACAGGATAGTCATAATGTTTCTCCCTGTGGTGGACCACACAGCACTGTCCCCAGATCCCCTTAGATTCAGTGACCTGTTTTACAGTAAATCTTTTTTTTCATCATCATCAGATCATCTGATCCCATGTCTACAGTCTAAGTCAATAGAATTAGTTACTAGAGTTACTAGAACAGTCCGAATTCACACATTCACAAATTATGCTAGAACATGAGAGTAATATTTAATTTATCAGTTAAGTATATTGTGGGGTTTTGGCCATGAGTTGAAGCATTTCTCCCTGAAATATTGTAGGTGTGTCCAAACGGCTAAGACCGATGTGAATAGCGGTCCAGTGTGTAGGAGATGGGGACACATAGTGGTGAGATGGTAACAAACACATATAGAGCCTGTTATTGAACTATAGTGACCTTTGTGTTCCAGAAAGGAAGATGTTTTTTTTTCACTATTTATTTTGTCAGTTTTAATATAAATAGATAAGCTCACTCACTCTGGCTGTTTTTTTTTCTGTTCATAATAGTGATGGTTTAATTAATGGATTCTCCCAAGGTCACTTGTTTTTCCCTCCTGCTTGTCAGCATCTTTATCACATCTCCGTGTTTCTTTTACCTTACTTTTCCTTTTGATTTTGTTCTTTCAAAATCACAGCATCTTTAGTGCAGCCATTTCAGACGTGTTTTTATTTTTAGACACGTCCACTTTTGTAAAACCTTTATCTTGTCACACACAACCTTACCACTGATCTTTGATCTCACTTTTTCTTTAGCACTTTTATGCACTTTCTTTTGCTTTAAATGATTGATTCCAGATATTTAAAACTGTTAATCTTTGAAAGTTTTCCCTTTTCTCCTCCTGCATCTTCCTCTTCCTTTTCCTTACACTTGTTTGTCATTCCAACTGCCAACATCCTCCTTGTCCTGCAGTCCTTATACAGGTCGTGCACTGCCATCACATACTTCTCTGCCACTCCTGACTTCCTCAGCAGCCTGTGACCTTGTGGCTACAGGGCTGCCAGTTTGTGGAGAAAATACTCAAACCCTTGTGCAGTAAAGTGCAGGCACTGCTCCCATTTCACAAATGGGTTTTACAGGGAGGATGCATTGGTTGTGTACAGCAATAAAAATAAAGTCGATCTATCTCTCAAACAGTATCACAGTTCCCTCTTTGGGAACTGGTTCATTCCTAATATAATTTTACCAAAAAAATGCTGGTGAACCTATATATCTGACACAAGACCTGAAAGATGAAAGGGTGGTGAATTTAAATGGTGTAATTAAATTGAGCATTGAGGGCTGGGTTAGCTAGCAGCCTATGTGGTCTTTTTTTCCCTAACATTTGTCAGTGTCCTTGCTGGTGACAACACTGAACTTTGTCCATTTCGTTCTCCACATAGCAGCTTCACTGGCAGCTCTGTAACTGTGAGCTTATGGAACTGCAAGAAGAGAGGAGGAATGTAGGTTTTTAACTTTTTTTCCCTCAGTCTCCATCGTCACACCAGGGAGGACACTTGGACTCTTTCTTTCAGATGCGTTCCCAAAATCTTCCAAGAGGACATAATTATTTTTATGAAAATGTCAATCCAGTGGACAATTTTCCCTCCAAGGATTAATCATTTCTTTCACGACTGGTACTGTGCTCCTAGCCACCTCACCTCGCATCATTACCCCCCCACCCCCACCCCCGTGAATGTACACTTGGATGAATGTTTTGTTGATACCAGATCCTTACTGGGGGCATGTGGGTTCACAGCACCCTGTCAGTTTCAGTGATGTGCTCTGTGTGACTCATAAGAATGGCTTCCAGTTAGATTCAGCCAAGAGCAACAACTCCATGCACCTAAGGAGACGTTTATATTTGCGTATGCTGCGTACAAACATACGAAATACTTTGAACAGTACATTTGCTCTGACGGTGCTAAATTGAATTGAATTTATTGTGTGTGTGTGTGTGTGTGTGTGTGTGTGTGCGCGCATGCACAAATGTGGGAGAAGGAGAAAGAAAGCTGATGATCTCTGCCCCTCTGCCCTCCCCACACCCTTCCTCACCCCTCTCTCCCCCCTTTACGAGTAAATGGTTAAGTCCATAACACTGCACTGTCTGTTCTACTTTTCAGCACCAGATATATCCCATTGTCTGCACTATGTTTAGCTTATGATCTTTATCAATATTATTATTGATGATAAATATTATTATTGCTGTTATAACTATTGTTATTTTCTTAATTAGAGTTACATTTAAATTAACTTATATTTTTATACAAAATGAAATAAATGTTTGTCTTTTTGTTTTGTACAGAGCAAACATCAATATAAACAACACCATCTGGACATGTTACTGTTACCCAGAATAACTGAGGAATGTCTCAACTGTAAATGTAAGAGCAGTAGTCCAAAAGAATTTTATTAAATACCTGAAAAGAACACACTGGTCTCAGTTGGTGTTGTCTTGTCCTAATTACACTGATCAAGTCACTTGACACTTTAAGTCAGATAATATCTTGTTGTGAGAGAACTTTCATTTTGCCATTGTGTAGAATAAAAATGTACCTATTTTGCCTTTTTTTTTTAATGAAAAGGAGGATGAAAATGTACAGACTTGTCAGTCAGTGTCTTTAAGATTCAAATTCATATTATAAAGCAGTTTTTTTACATTAGTCCCAAAATAGTATTCAAGAAAAACTTTTCACTGAACAGTTGCCAAAAAGTTGAGTGAGAATCTTATTAACTTCCAAGAGAAAGTTAAAATGTGGCTAAGAGCGAAAATATAGTCCGGAAATAACTAATCATTACGGAAAGAATGAAGTTACATTGTTTTAATTTTTCCCGAGACAGAAGTAAAAGATATTACTGAAAATGTTTGTATTGGGTCAAAGTACAGGTGTGAGCTGGGCAAGAATTTAGAAAATATAGATTCAAAGTAGCCAAAATGGGAATCTACTACTACTAAGAACTGTGTTGGAAAATGGTCAGTAATATATGAAACTGCAAACTCAACAAAAAAATTGTCAAAAACTTAAAGTAATAGTTAGCCCAGAAAGGAATGTTGATGAAGTTAGCCAGAAGTTAAAGGTGAAACAATCTGAAAAGGCCTCATTGTAGCCAAGGGAGATCCAGAAGTTAACTTTTACCTTAAATTTAATTGAATTGTCCTTGAGAATGTAGTCTTAATCTAAAATGCTAAAATGTTGGAGGAAAAACTGGTTAAAAATTAGCAAAATATTTTATTAAGCTGGTGAATTATGACTCTAAAAGCAACCAACTATAAAAGAATAATTGCCAAATATATTGTCTCCTCCATTCACATTCACACGTGCATTTCTCTTCTCTGGTGATTATTAGTACAAAGAACAGCACAAACTCCTTTGTGTAGACCTAGTTAATCCCAATGAGTCATAGCACATTTGTGTGTCTGCTCAATTTTGCCATCTGTGTGCTGCTCTCCTCCTCTAGTCTGTCCAGCCCTGAGGCTGACGTTCACTCTTTCTCCTCTTCCATTTCTGTTCTTTACACTGCATGTCATGACTGTGTGTTTAGTTGCACACAACAACTCAGTCACTGTGAATAACACGATTTGCTAAAATTCCCCCAACAACCAGTTTACATGAATCATCTGTTAATTGGGTTACCGTGTGCAAGAATTTGTCATTGCTGCAAAGTAACTTTACGCCATCCCAGAATGTGAAAACACAAAAGAATTTGTATGCCTATGACTTTACGACAAATTCACGTCATTACTGTTTTTTTCTCTCGTAAGTTTCGTAAGTATTACACTTCATGACGGCCCCTCAACCGTGAAATGCTCGTTGAGAATAGCTGTGACGAGACTGTGACGTTTTTCAAACCTGCAACTATAAACAAACAAAGAAATAATTAGTTTATTTATTTATTAAATAAATACTTTTTTTATTATTTATTGTTTATTAAATAAATAAATAACATTTTTTTTTATTGTTTATTAAATAAATAAATAACGTGTGTTTTAACAACATATTCAGTGTGATTTACAAATCCCGGAAGTTCCTGTAAAATCTCGACTTTAGTTTCCTGCAGACTTGTCTCCCTGACAACCGATTGAAATACAGATCACTTCAGAGGAAGGTTACAACTTTCCTGCCTTAAATAACCTCCCAAAAGAGACTGCTGATACACAGGTAAGACTTACACGATTACCTTTCAGATTGAAGAAATCAAACAAGAGGGGAAAACGACCTGTGTTCTTTTTACCGCGAGAAAAGTTGTAAAAGGAAGTTCTTGTTTTGACGACGTTACCTTCGTATTTTTCAATTTAATGTATTTGTCTTTATTTTTTCACGATTTATTTTTTTTTTCTTTTTAATTTTTGATTATCTACAGACGAGGAATGCATCTCGGGTCTGTTGTAAGAACGTATCCCGCATGTGGTAAAAATTGAAAAACAGTGTCTAGGATTCAGTGACATCTGGTGGCGAAATTATTGGGGCGAAATCTGAATCTGAATCTGATCCAACATGTAAACTTCACTTCAAAGGTCTCTCCATCCGGGTTAATTCAAATAAAAACATCAAACTTTTTGTACTGTATCTACAAAGAAAAAAACCTCATAATCCCATACAGTACATAAAGTATATCCGTCTCAATCCCCAACGCCAAGTCAGTGATCTATTAACACCACAAAACCATCTTAACCCTTTCACCTTTAAGACATTCAAACTTAGCTGTTTGCAGCTCTACTAATTTTTAATCTCATCCATCCTGGTCTCTTATTTTGAAAAGCTCAGTATCTTTAACTTTACTGTCAGTCTTTGTCTCTACACAATGAATGATAACAGCTGTAACTGTTGTCCTGTGAACATTTGCTTGCATTTCCATCTCACTTATTTTACTTCTCACATCTTTGTCTGAAAAGCTCTCGGACGTGAGGTAAAAACACCAGCTGCGTAATATTTCCTCCTGTAAATACTCAACGCAGTATTGTGTCTTATACTTTCACAGCTATGTTCAGCAACTCTAGGTCGAAACCTGAGAGCTTCAGGAGCGATGTCCATAAACTGCTGCAGGCCGCTGAAGCTGGCCAGAAGGCTGACATTCTGACCTACCTCTCAGGTCATCTCGGGCCTCGCACACTAAACAAGAGTCAGTCCTACGTGGACACAAAGCAGTCCTTATGGACCAACTCACAGAGACAAGGAGCTACCGCTAACCATCAGACGGTCCGCTTGAAACAGACAAAGACACTGACCCACACGGAGAGTCGTTGTGCTGAGTTCACCAGCAGAACTGTTTCTGTGTCAAGACCAGTGCAGGCTCCGGATCCCTCATCACATGCAGACAGGAGACAAGATATTAGTCTTCCTTACATAATCCGTCATTCCTCAGGCAATGTTTCAGTCCAGATGAACGCTATTTCCCAGAAAAAGCCAAACTCTTTATCTAATCCAGAGGGAAAACAACAGTTTGACTCAAGTGTTTCTGACCAAAAAGGAATGAATAATGAAGACCAGCTAAAGACTAAACAATGGTTTGGCAGGCAGCATGTAGCCAAGCAGAAACTCTGGGCTGGGATAAATGTTGCTGAAATGCTTGAGAGGAAACTACAAAAGGTGAAGCTCTTAACACAAACCATGTTGTTGTGTTTTTATTTTAAAAAGGCTCTTAAAAGTGTCAGCTTGTATTAAAATCTTCATTCATTCAACACCCGATGAACTTTTCTCTCAGGTGGTGCATGGATAAAGACATGCTCGGTCGATGACACACCTCTAAACTTGCATCAATGTGTGTGTTCATGTGTGTGTCTTTGTGTGTTTGTGTTCCCTCATGTCCAGGGGCTTAAGAAGCTGTCGGCGCAGAGCTGGCCTAGCACAGACCGACTTGCGGTGTTCAGTGACGTCTTTGATGATGTATGTGAACACTCGCCAGTATTTGGACGCATCCTGAGGGAAATTAAGGTTTTTCCATTTCGTCTGTAACCCACTCACACATTTTCAGCATCTGCCATCAGATATTAGGCCCTCGGAGAGAAGGAATGAGTCCCCCGCTGTAGAGTTCTGAAGTAGGGCACCGGCTGCACACAGGTCACCATGTGTCAGGCAGCAGGTCACCGCAGGACACTGTTGGTTTTATTATCACTCTGTCCTGGTGTGTGTTTGAGGTTTTTTTATTTCCTCTCTCCAAAATGACTAGAAATAAACTATTTCATAATTTTCCTCACTTTATTTATTATGATAAAAGGTCAGGCTGTTAATAATCCTGATGCCAAAGTCTGGTAAAACTGTGACAGGATATGACTACGACTAACTGTATTAGTCACAGTTAGTCAGATTGCAAACACTAAGTAACTTTGGCAAAAAAAAATATATAACTGTTCTTGTAACACTAATAATGTTGGGTGTTTTTTAATTCTTCTTCCAGACAGATTATGATTTGTACATCCACCGCTTGACGGCGCCACAGTCACCGGCGCCCGACGGGGTAAATCTGACCAAGAGTCTGTTAAATGTACCGTAAATTTGAATAACACGAAAAGAGAATCGATGAATAACAGGACTGTTGTCAAATTTCATAACATATGAATAAAAAGTTCAATTTATTTGTGTGTTATAAATAATGAACAGAATATATAATCTGACATTAAATTTGAATTACATAAACTTGAGATTAACATGAAATAATTCTACAAGAGTCATTTTTTTAATGTGAAACTCGAGTGCCGATCTCAGTTTGATGAATCTGAATCTAATCCTGTTGTATCTTGAGTTGTTTTTAAGGCAAAGTTAAGAAGATAATTGAATTGTGGCAAACAGTGAAAGTACTGATTTTTACATATGTTTTCTCGTTGTTACAGATGTTGGAGGCTTCACTTGAAGAGTTTGGAGACAGTACAGTAACATCAGTGGAGCTGAAAAATGCTGAAAAGGAAATCTTTAGACTGGAGCTGGAGGCCAGCAGAGCTTTGAAAGAGAATAAACAGTAAATCAGTAAAAATGGCTTTTAATCTATGGGTATATTTAATATACATATAATAAAAAAAATTTTAGGAACATGAGTGATGCAGGAGTCAATTATTGATTAATTGATTAGCACTGTGTTGCTGTTTTATTTTTAGGCTCAAAGAAGAACTACAAAATCTGTCAATCACCGACTCTGTGGAGACTGACTTCAGCAGTAAGTTTTTATAAGTAGTTTTTAGGATGGTCGAATTTTTTATCTAATAAATCAGGATTAATAGTGTTTGTGATTTATCTTGATTTATCATGATTATTGAGATAAATCAATTTTCTGAAATCAGACAAAAAATGATATGTGTATCAGTGCTGCAGGACAGTGAAACCTTCAACAGAGACTCCAACAGTGTCTGGCTGAAGAGGCGTCAGGTGTTGGAGGTGTGGATGGAGATCCAAGAGCTGGAGCAAGACCTGAAGGAGAAGCTGGTGTCCACGGTGACGACCACTGCCACTGAGAAACACGTCAAGGACCTGAAGGTGGGCAAAGCTACTTCATCCGTCTCCCATAACTAAAACTAAAACAGCATTAATGACTAGAACAGATCATTCAGCTGCAGGTTTAAGCCTTTTTTTTTTTTTTTTTTTGCTCCCAGAAAGAAACGATGCGACTGATTGTCTCAAATGACCGTCTGAAGAGCAACAACCAGGCAAGAGACGCTTTCTGTTCCACAGTATCATGGATATATTTTCAGAAATGCATATCTTGTCAAATGGTCTTGTGTCATCTCTATTTGTTTTTGAAGAATCTAGAAAATAAAATCAACATGGTGCTGAACAGAGAGAAGTCCAGCCAAGCCATACAGCGGTAATGTTCACTGGTCACAGCTGCTGACATGGACTTCACAGATAACATTTTGAAGGAAAAATATATTTTTTTGACAATTTATTTTCTTTTAAAATAATTGGCTAATCTCACACTGTTTTGTAGTAAAAAATACTATTAATTAAATATTTCCACATCACTTTGTCTATTTTGTGTATGCAGCCATTTTAGCTCATCATTTTTTAAATGTTGATGTTTTACCAGTTGTTCATCACGAAGGATTCACTGATTTTTACCGAGACTGTAAAGTCCTCCCTGGGTTGACACCAGCATTTAGCAGATCAAGAATCATTCTCCTCTTAACATTTTTGGGATCACTTTTCTATTTAAACACAAGAGGGCAGCAAATACACTTGAGAAAAAATGCCGCACTGAAAAGCCCGTGTTGGAGTTCAGTTAAACATGAATTCCATACAGCGTTTGTTTCCTCCAAGAAATCTTCATGTGTATGTTTTATCATGTATTTACTGAGGACGAGAAGATTAGAGCTGATTTCTCTTTGATGGATAGGCAGTGACCTTTGCCCTCTTCAGAAGGGGAAATGCCTTGCTGTCTGCTATGAGCTAATCAGAGGTTAAAGTCTGATGTGTGGCTGACCGAACACAGTGAAAACACAGTGTGTTTTTGTGCCTCACTGTCTGAGCTGCGCTCCTCTTGACAACACCTCGTCCCATGTAGAGAGCCTTCTACACCAACGCCATGCTGCTCCGGATTTTGGTTCCTCTTCTCCTCCTCTGTGTGTCTACGGGCATGTGTGCCTCCTTGGTCTCTTTACAGGCTCAAGACAAGGAGGTGGAGAAGGAGGATTCTGCTGAGAAGTTAGATGTCGCTCCAGCTGTAGAAGGTAGTGAGGCTGCAGCAGAGGAACCTTTGTCTAACACCCTGTCTGGTAACAATCTCCTTGGTAAACTTCTTGGCGTGGACAATCCAGAAGCGGATAAAAACACCGACGGACCTGCTGCTGTGGACGCTGCTCCTCAAACTCAAGAGCTCCCTTCGTCTACAGAAGATGGGAACGACATTAAAGCACTCAAACCGAAACAATCACTAGTAGAACCCTCAGCCGATAAGAAGAACGACACTTGGAGCATCAACTCAATCAGAGACAGTTTCCAGACCGTGCACACGTACTTTGACTCCCTGGTGGAGCTGGTGGGTGGGCGTGATGGAGTGTGTCAGTACCGCTGCAGATACGGTAAGACTTCAGCTGACACATTGAACCAACTCTCCTCCGACTTCATCAGTCACTGATGACGAGGGGCCTTTTCACTAGATCCTGACATCTGACCAGGTTCTGTTTATCAGTCATGGAGGGAGACGTCTTGTACCCAGTTACACAATCAGAGCTGATGTTTTCAAACAGATGTTACATCTTATCTAAGATTGATTGATAAGTACACACTGACATCCAGCTGGTCATAAACCTCAATGTGGACTTGTGTTGTTGTCTCTCAGGAGAAGTTCCTCAGCCTCGTTCTGGTTACGTGCGTCCAGAGCCCAATGGCTGCAGTTCCTCTCTGGTGGGATTCCAGGTGAATGCAGCTGTAGGTGGCCATTCCTCAGCACCAACAGCGTACCGCTACATCACACGGCCCATATATTAGAGCCACTTCAACATTTTAATGCCAGCTTCTGTCTCTTTTGGCAGCTGGACCTGGGGATTCCAGCCATGACCCAGTGCTGCAATCAGCTTGACTCATGCTACGACACGTGTGGCACCAGCAAGTACGACTGTGACTCCGAGTTCCGCTCCTGTGTGCTGGGCATCTGCTCTGACCTGAAGAAGAGCTTGGGCTTTGGGTCCCAAGTCCAAGTCCAAGGTGAGATATGGTGTTAGAAAATATATAGTCCAGGCATCAACAATAGACAAGAACAAAGACTGAGGACTTGACAATAACACAGTATAACAATAACAACAACAATAGAGGTGTTGGTTCTGTTTTTATTATCCGCCATATTGTGTTTAGGTTTTTAAAAAAAACTTAAGCTAGATATAAGAAAACTCCTCAAAACAGACCACTGTCTGAGGTCATGCTGCTACGGCACAGAGCAATCACTTTTCTTTAGGAGCTGTACACTGCCAACATCAGCGCCACAAAACTTGAATTATTCTATATTGTACAAAATAATCCATACATTTGAAAATTGTTCACCTATGTCATCCCGTCCTAATCTTAAAAGAGAAATCTGCAAGACAAAACATATATATGTGTATATATATATATATATATATATGTGTGTATATACATATATATAATTAGAGTTCCCTATATAAGGAACCCATGTTCACTGATCTAAACACTTGGTTTAGACCAGTGTTAATGGTTAATGGTTGCATCAAACCCTAACATCTTAACTATTTTTGTGACTCTGCACCATGCCCAAATATAAATGTTGGTATTTTCGTGCACCAGCAGGAGCGTCTCACATGTTTGGAATTCAAATATTAACAGTTAATCTGTGTCTTTTCTCCGCAGCCTGTGATTCAGTGGCAGACGTTCTGTACAACACAGTGTGGACTCTGGGCTGCAGGCCCTACATGAACAGCCAGAGGTCAGCGTGTGTCTGTGACGGAGAGGAGAGGGATGAACTGTGATCCTGCAGACACTGATTGGACAAATCAAGTATCCTCACACATTAATGCATAAACAGTATTTATGAGTTTCATCGTCTAAGTTTAAAATGAAGACATTGGAAATGAAGAATATGGTGGAATTTATTCATAGAATGTAATAACAAATGTTGAGTGTCTGATTATGACTTTCACAATTTTAATTAACGGCTCATACATAATATTCTCTCCATATTTGTGCCTTTTCGGGCCTTTGTGACTCCATTACCATAAATTACTCCATGCACATTTCCTTACAGGAACAATATTGGAGCTGGAATCATTGACTCCATTTAGGAACAGAGACAATTAATGTGTAATACACAGTTCATGGCGTGCCACCGCCGCCACTGCTGCTGTTTAATATTTAATAAAGGAACAATTTGCCCAGTGTGAAATGTCTACCATGCCAAGCACACACTTTGTTAATATCTGATCTAAGTTATTGGTTTGGTATCTGTTATTATTTTTGAAGAAATCCACAAGTAATTACTTTCTAAGTGAAGTGATTTACTCAAGATGAACTATCAGAACGGAGAGGCAGAGATCGGCGTCATCTTCCAGGACTGGCTCAAACCTAATCTTCTTTCTAACAAACTTTTAAATGTGAGGCATTAATGATAGAGAGCAGATGAGTCAAAAATACACTTATGAATGTTTTTCCCTTTTTTTTAACCCGGGTTGGACTAAATTATAAAAACCACTGAATCTCTAAGCCGTAATAGAGCTGAAAGTGTGACCCAGAAAAGCAGTTGCGATGCTGTGGCTGTAACAAATGAACTGTGGCCCCTCTGAATCGTCCCTAATAGAAATGCCATTTAGTTTAATGTCAGTAAATTGTGCTGCCAGGCAAAGTGGCAGATGCAGGGATGCATTAAGTAGAATTAAAGTGATCTGAGGGTGATGTGGGTGATGTTGAGTGGAAGAAGACAGTTTGTCCTCCGCATGTGTTTACATACTGTATATACACATGAGGAACTTCCTGTGTTTGTATATGACCAGATATCAACCAATAGAAACATCTTGTGGAGTTTGTTTTACAAAACCTTCTTACAGATTATTATTCTGTATACTGTAACTGTATACACTGAACAGTTTAATTGTGTTCAGTTACTTGATAAATGATAAGAACCTGGGGACCACAACCTGACACACACGGTGTTCACGTGTGTGTGTGTGTGTTCTGTAAAATTAACAAACCATGATGTTAAATGTCTTTGATTACAACATGTGCGGCAGACTTGTCCTAGGGTTTTCTCTGTCGTTGCATCACTTCTCCAACTATGGCAGGATGTAAATGGGTCCTCCTCTGAGTGTGTGTCGGTCCCAGGCTTCACTGGTTCTAATCCCCCGTCGTACACGTCCGCGGCATCGTTGGACACAACGGGAGTCTCCTGATCTGCACACTAACACCTGGCAGTGTAGGAAGACTTGCTGCAAACAAAGAGAAACAAAAGTTTATTCCGAGCAGAGACAGAGGGGAAAAACCAACCAACGCTGCTGCGTAAAGCAGTGAAATCACAGAGTCAATGAACACACTCCTAACATTCCTTTAAACACCAGCTGTCTCCCAGCATGCACCTCTTTACTCACTTGGCTGTCTGTGCCAATAAACTTGAAGACAGGAACCTGGTAGTGCTTGGAGAGCTGGTCCTTGGATGAGTACTGTGTCACTGCTTCATCGGAGATGCACCTGAAAAAGAAGTTCAGAGACACCAGTGATGATGATGATGATGATGATGATGATGATGATGACGATGTCAGTGGTTTCTTTAAATACCATTTCTAAAAAATCTTCATCTGACCTCACACACTGATGTGTTCTAATATAAATCATTAAAACACAGTCAAAACCTCCTCTGTTCTTCTCTACACTCCATCTTCAGACCAACTCTTTCTCTGGAATCACCAAATATGAGCGTTCCCAAGATAACAGAGCAGTTTCGATTTTTCTACCCAAACATTATTGTTCTCCTTCTACACTAATCAGACTTTGGGGCCGGGGGCATTTATCACTTGATGTTTCCTCGGAGGAGTGGCCGCTTCCTGTCCTATAACTGTCAGGAGGCTGAGGCCCGGGCTTCGTGGTGAGAGCAGCTGGGCCTGATCCTGTACACATTTATTATAAGAATTATTAATGCTGCAGGAATAAAAGTACCAGGTGAATTTATGGGAAAACATTAAAAAGGCTGAATTCAGCAGTTTCTGGAGTCTGCGTGTGCAGAACTCCACTGGTTGATTACAAAGACGAGCTCCGTCTCAGTGCTGTGCTGTGCAGCTTTGTTTTCATTTAATCGCACTGAGAGAAAATGTCTGCGTGATTCCTGCCAATAGAGGATGGAAACTTTACTAAATTATCTGCACTCATATAGTGATTTTCCAGTCTTGATGACAAGCCCAAGAGCTTTACGCCACACGTTCATCGGTGTCGTATTTACTGATGTAGCCTGTAATGTGAGGTCTGTCTGTGCCCTGTTCCTGCTGGCTGCTGTGTGGGTTAATCAGTGTGATCACACTCACCTGTGTCTCTGTGATCAGTCTCACTGGTGTCACCTGTTGCCCTGGGTATATATACACCTCTCCCTCACACTGTTGGATCATTGTTTGCTGTTTGTTTGTGTGCTGGTCAAGTTAGTTTGTGTGTTGGAGAGGGCCATGTGTTTGAAAACAAAATGAGGATGGAATTCAACTTACATTTAACAAACACAGCTTGTGTCAACTGTTGCAGAAAAAAATAGTAGACAAGCAAAAAGAGAAAGATTAAAATATGTGAATGTCTGCTGACATAAAATGGAAGAAGTTGGAAATGATGATTGTTAGGAGGCCAAACAAAAGTAGACCAACTGTCAGGAAAGCTCTGTGATCATTCTGGGCTGTATCAAAGCAGGCATTGCTCAGGCTCCTGGGCTAAAATGCTAATCCACATTTATACAGCAACACAGCAACGCTGACCCTGTCACTTAACTGATGTGTGGGCCACATTATGGATATCTGTACTCCACATGTGGTCCGGAGAAATTGACTACAGACAGACGAACAGTTTGTTGTGTTCTTGTAGCTGGAGATGTGATGATAAAAGTGGTTTACCCATCTTTGATGAGGTAATACTTCACAGCCTGGTCAGCATTGGGTCCTGGTGTGGCGAAGCAGCTCTCCACCAGTGCAGACAGACCCTCCACCCTCTCCTTGGGCTCCACTCCAAAGAACAGAGAGTCTTGCAGACAGAGTTGAGGAGGGGAGCTGTAGACCTCAGAGAAATCTGACGTCTTGAAGAGTTCCAAAAAGAAGGGGAAGTCTCCCTCACTGTGAGCGACAAGCTTCAGGGCAGAGCTCCGCACACTGGCCTGGTATCTGTCCGACACATGGTACTCTCTGGGGAACTCGCAGGTGATGGGGATGACTAACTTACTGGTGCGGACGATCAGGTCCCTGCTGCTGCCTCGGCTGCTCCTGGGAAGACCTGTCACCAGGTTTGTGCCGACAATTTTATCATCGGTCACCTGAGGAGAGACAACAGTAACTTGATTACAACTGCTTTGTTTTAGAATAAAAGCCACATTATCTGCACTGCCCACTTCATTAGGTGCATGTTAAAAAACACTGACGTCTTTCAGCAGAATCTCAGATCCTGTAGAACTGACTCTTTGACGATGACAGTGAGTTTATTGAACCTGAATGGCCTCTGCAGTCACCAGGTCTCAATCCAATAGTCACTTTAGCACATGATGGAACAGGAGATCTTCCGTCACGTCGATATGAAGCCACAGTTAAATTATTACATCTATGTCAATACTCAACAAAGGAATTCTCTTGGTACTACAGAGATGTTCCTAATGAAGCAGCCAAGTCATGAACTGTATATTGACGTGAATACTCAAAGCTTAGCCTGTCAGACCTCCACCACTGTGCCGCAGGTCTTCAGGCTGAAGTTGAGATTGATGTGTGTGCCGTTAGAGACACCACGACATGACGAGTTGGACAGGAAGAGCTCCAGTCCGCCGACAAGGTCCTTGGGGACTGACACAGTAATAGAGGTGGAATCACACTGGACAGGCACTGTAGAAAGTGAACAGCCTTAGAAGGTGAACAGCAGTCATCATGAACTATTTCTTAATATATATATATATATATATATATATATATATGTGTGTGTGTATATATCCTATATCCATATATAGAGATTTATTAAAATACTATATAATAGTATATAAACTCAAGTGGTTTGTAGCCTGCCTCCTTGTGGCCATGGACAAACAAAAAATCTTCTGTAGTTCAATTTAGTATTCAGAACCAGAGGCTCAATCTGATTTAAATATAGAGAAATTAAATAAAACGATAAAGGACGCAAAAAGACTAATAATAATAATAGCAAATATACTTGCCTAAAATGTTTTGTTAAGTACAGTATCAATAATTCTCCCCCTCACTGTACGGCTCTGTGCCTGGAGAAACTCAATGTGGTCAAATCATCTTCTCAGACTGCTGTAGGTGTGTGTTCTTGTTACTATGTGTCAACGTCCTCGGCTTCCTGGTCAATTTGCACTCACAGAATTTCTCTCTCTCTCTCTCTCTCTCTCTCTCACACACACACACACACCCACACACACACCCACCCTGACATGTGCGTTTATCCACTCCCAGCTCCAGCCCCCTGGGACAGTGGCACTGATACGAGTCCTGCAGTGAGGAGCAGCCGTGGCTGCAGCCTCCATTGTTAACATGACAGCCTGCTATCTCTGCAGGAGGCGACACAGAGAACAGGAAATGATGAAGGAGTCAGTGCACCTCCCGACTTCACCCAACTCTCTCTCTCTCACTCTGAATGACATTATAATTGTACCTCTGCAGTGGCGTCCGTCCTGATCCAGCACGCGGCCCGGACCGCACTCACAGCGCCTGGAGCCTTTGGTGTTCACACACACCTCAGCACAGCCACCGTTTCCATTTTCACACTCATTTACATCTGAGCAGAGAACACACACCTGGGTCAGATATTATTATCACATCAGACCTGTTTTAATGGAGTGGGAGTTAGACGGCTGGAGTTTATCACCGCAGGGCAATTCACTTTGTGGTTGAGGGAGGAGGAGGAGGAGGGGGAGGAGGAGGAGGGGGAGGAGGAGGAGGGGGAGGAGGAGGAGGGGGAGGAGGAGGAGGGGGAGGAGGAGGAGGGGGAGGAGGAGGAGGGGGAGGAGGAGGAGGGGGAGGAGGAGGAGGGGGAGGAGGAGGAGGGGGAGGAGGAGGAGCAGGTGCACAAGAAGGGTGCACAAGAAGAGTCGATGAGTTAAGATGCAGAGAATAATGTAACACTGCTCCCTTCATTGAGGACGTTTGAGAAAAAGACAATAAACAATTACAGAAGAAAAAGAGAAGAGAGTAAAGGTGATGAAGCTCATCTATCTTCTGGGGTTTGAGGTTTCAATTAATTTCTTAATTATATTCATTTCTTTTATAATTTTTTATTTTTCTTTGGTACTTTCTGGTGCAAAGTATAAAAAATAAAACTACAATAGAATACGAGAGCTAAACAAAGACAACAAGAAAGTTCACGTCACCCGGCTTGGTGTTACCAGGCCCCCACCCTAGAGCCAGGCCCGGGGTTGGTTCTCACAGGTGAGCACCCGGTGGCCGGGTCTTTGCCCACGGGATCCAGCTAAGCCCGACCCAAAGAAGCGACGTCTGCCCGCCTTCCAGTAGGCCCACCACCTTCAGGAAGGTTCACAAGGAGCCGGTGCCTTGTGATTTGGTTCTTTCAGTAGTCGTGGGCGGGGACCCCAACGGCCCAATCCCTGGACTACTACCGCTCTGGCTATGGGGACATGGAATGTCACCTCACTGCAGGCAGGGGGCGAGCTTGTGCAGGAGGTTGAGCGATACTGGCTAGATATAGTCGGGCTCACCTCCACGCAGTGTGGGCTCTGGAACCAAACTCCTCGAGAGGCTGGACTCTCTTCTGTTTTGGAGTTGCTCGTGGTGAGAGGCGGCTCGTGCTGGTGTAGGCTAGCTTACAGCCCCCCAGCTTGTCAGTCGTGTGTTGGGGTTCTCCCCACTGAGCGAGAGGGTCGTTTCCCTGCGCCTTGGGGTCGGTGAAAGGTCTCTCCCTGTTGTTTTTCGACCTGTGGGCTGAATGGCAGTGCAGAGGACCTGGCCTTCTTGCAGGCACTGGGAGGAGTACTAGAAAGTGCTCCTCCCGGGGATTCCATCATCCTGTTGGGGGACTTCAGTGCTCACGTGGGCAACGACAGTGTCACCTGGAGGGGTGTGATCTGAACCTGAGTGGTGTTTTGTTATTGGACTTCTGTACTAGTCACAGTTTGTCCATGAACGCGATGTCCAAATATAAGGGTGTCCATCAGTGCACCAGGACACCCTAGGACACCCTCCTGAGGGAGGTTGGAGACATTGAGTCAGAGTGGACTATGTTCTCCTCTTCCATTGTTAATGCAGCTGTACGGAGCCTTGGCCTAAGGTCTCCTGCATCTGTCGTTGTGGCAATGCCCGAACCCGGTGGTGCACACCGGGGTTCAGAGATGCTATCAAGCTGAAGAAAGAGTCCTATCGAGCTCGAGTGGCAATGAGAGCAAAAACTTGGGTGTGGGAAAAGTGTGGGGAGGCCATTGAGGAGAACTATAGGTTGGCCTCAAAGAAATTCTGGCAAACCATCTGGCGCCTCAGGAGGAGAAAGCAGTTTCCAACACTGTTTATAGTGGAAGTGGGGAACTGTTGACCTTGTTTGGGGATGTTGTCGTACGGTGGAAGGAATACTTTGAGGATCTGCTCAATCCCACTGACATGCCTTCCGTAGAGGAAGCAGAGGCTGAGGACCGGCTGATCCACGAGGTAGTCAAGAAGCTGCTCGGTGGTAAGGCCCCGAGCAGGGGTGTACGGAGAAAGGAGAAATCTTGATTTTACCGTTGACAGGTTAAAAAGAAGGTTTTATGCAGCTATTCTTATATTTCCTAGAAATTGTTTTTTAAGCTCAGCTCGTCTGCCTCAGCCTCTCTCTCCTTCACCCTTTTCTAATTAATCTCACCCAGACACGTTTGTCCATCTGGTCCCAGAACAGTTCCACGTCCACAGCGACAGTCCATCTTAGGACAGGGGGGTCCTGTACATTCAACCTCATCACAGATGTCGTAGAAATCTGAACAAATGTCAACATAACATTAGAGGAGGTTGTAAAGTACTGTGGTAGTGACACAGAAAAATGTAAATATTATCATATGTTTGCAGTGCTCCTTACGGCCACAGTAGGCTTGGAAACAGACGGAAGGTCTGGGCAGACGATAAACAAAGTACCCTGCAGCACAGGCCTTCACCTCCACACTGGCGTTCCACTGACAGCAGTTGTCGTTGAAGCTGACACACACCGACAGGCCGACAATGCCCTCCTGACGATGAGGGTGGCTGCCATTCAGCCAGATGGGTGCATGGGTGCCACAGTGGTTCTCAGGGATGCAGAAGGTAGGCATGGCATCTCCAGCCATGCCGGTGAATCGGTACCATTCACCAGACATGTGGCTGTCACACAGAGGAACCCCAGACGACTGGTTGACGTGGAAGTCCGTGTTCCTCCACGGTTCATTCAGGCTGATGTAGGCAGAGCAGGGGTCCAAGGCTGAGACATGTGGGTTGGATTATTTGTTAGCATAAAGATTAATAAATAGCAACAGCGGTTTATAAACCTGCAGTTTACCAAAAAGTCAAGGTCAGACTTAGGAACAGCGACATAAAAACAGGAGTTTTTCTAGGAAGTATTAGAAACATGTCATAGATGGAGCAGAATTTATGCATGTCGCCCTTTTCCAATCCCTGAAAAGGATTATGCAGAACTGGATAAATGACTAAGAAAATGTCAAAGTTCTGACATGACCTTTTAGCAGTGATTTGGTTCTGGATAACTAACTGCAGCCCCTGCTGTGGTTGGGTTTAAATGTCCGCTGACTGCAAAAGCAAACAATAAATCTTTGCCCACTTTCCTTTGTATTGTTTCTTCACGATAAACACAGTCAATTCTCATTGAAGTGAACAACAGCACACGGCCCTTTTACCCAGAGCCTTCTGTCGGCGTTGACTACATTCACTGCAGAGTCAGGAGAACAGCCGAAGCATCAGAGTAAACACAGTTTAGCAAAGAAACAATCAATACGCTCTCGCCTTGTCAGCCTCCGTCAACGGGGTAATTTAGGAGGTAGAAAAAGAAAAGAGAAATGAAAGAAAACGTGATTAAGGCGGCAGTGAAGATCATCTGAGAAGAAGGAAAAGCTGGAGGCTGATCAGGTCTGCAGTAGATCCTCTTCTCTGACAGGCAGAGGAGGTGACAGCAGATGGTAAACACTTATGACCTGCAGTCACTGGATGGATCACTGTGTGGTTGTACTCCAGGCTGAGCTGACTGCAGATTTACAGTAATAACAAAAATAGTCGTTCTAAATTTAGTAAAATGAATGATCAGACCACGGCAGTGTGTATGGAATGACATGAGAAATGATGGATTTGGTCAGTGGGTCTAATTTTGTCCCCGTGAATGATGTGACTGCATTTTCTCCCTCCACGTTCTAAAAGACAGTCCATCTCCTCGTCACAACTGACTGCTTCTGAGAGAGCAGAAGAATCAGTCCATGGCCTGGTTCCACTGTCACAGTAAATGACTCGTACTACTGATCAACACAGTTCCGGCTCAAACAGGAATCTTAAATCTTCCAGATGAAGATGGAATGGTTTATCAACGGTCTCAGAGTGGAGTCCGGTCTGACTCACACTCCTGTGTCGTAACTGTACAGACAAGATGGTGAAGATTACACAGGAATAAATGAACCATTACAGAGTTCTCTTAGGAAATGTGTCCAAAGAGTTTGGTTGAAAGCAACTGGACTTCTTCTTGTAGCTTGAAAGATGTTTCGTTCCTCAACTGAGGAACTGCATCAGTTTCTGAAACTTTCTTCATCAGTTTCTCAACTCTTTGGATAACGTGACCTGGATGAATAAGAATCTTCACAGACGTTGGGAAATCTTCTTCTTCTTCTTCTTCTTCTTTCTTGGTCAGACACAGGAGAATCTTCAGCCTCTGACTTCCATCAGAGTGAACCATAGAACCACAGATATATATACATACGGACAATGCAAAAATAGACAACCAATGAAATGTTCATCTTACCTTCACCGGCAGCAGTCGGAGGCTTCTGTAGCAGACAAGTGATCAGCAGAACAATCATCATGTTTTTGTTCAACAGTGTTTTAAAGACACTCAAGTGAATCCACAGGTCTGTTTGGAGCTTTTCTCTTCCATCTGCGCACAGAAACCAGTTGTGTGTCTTCCTGGCCTTGACCTTTCGATCTGCATCTCCCCAAACGTAGTGACAGGATCATCCTTGTATTGTTCCAGTCTTATCAGTTCAACACTCTGTCACCCTGAGGGGAAAAAGTCGCCTCTGTTGTTTAGCACTCTCTCTCTAAACAACATCCTCCGAGCTGCACACATGACTGAAGGTGGAGCTGAGTGACAGTCTCACCGTGCTGCACAGTCTCTGTTCTCTCTGAACACCTAACACGAGAACAAGCTCATCTAATAAAGTAAACAAACTGAACCGATGCTCCTACAGCTCAGGTTTCACTGATCGATCAAGACCGTCTGACGTTAGTCCAGTTTGGTGACCTATTAACCAAATAAGAATACAATAAAGATGAGAACACACTAACCCAAGGTAGTGCAAAAATCACAGCCGAAAGAGTTACATTTACACGGAAAATGTCTGAAAATGTTCCTAAAATTTTTATAGAAATCTATATATAAAATTTCCGCTGTTGTCCTGCTTGAGTTTTAAATTACATTTTTATGTCAATCAACAAATATGTAGTTTGTGTTACATGCCTAAAACTATGGCACAGTTCTGTATAATGAGAAATGTCCCGGTTAATTTTCTGGTTTCAACAGCACTGATAACCATACATGGTTCAGACAAATGTCAACATAACATTAGAGGAGGTTGTAAAGTACTGTGGTAGTGACACAGAAAAATGTAAATATTATCATATGTTTGCAGTGCTCCTTACGGCCACAGTAGGCTTGGAAACAGACGGAAGGTCTGGGCAGACGATAAACAAAGTACCCTGCAGCACAGGCCTTCACCTCCACACTGGCGTTCCACTGACAGCAGTTGTCGTTGAAGCTGACACACACCGACAGGCCGACAATGCCCTCCTGACGATGAGGGTGGCTGCCATTCAGCCAGATGGGTGCATGGGTGCCACAGTGGTTCTCAGGGATGCAGAAGGTAGGCATGGCATCTCCAGCCATGCCGGTGAATCGGTACCATTCACCAGACATGTGGCTGTCACACAGAGGAACCCCAGACGACTGGTTGACGTGGAAGTCCGTGTTCCTCCACGGTTCATTCAGGCTGATGTAGGCAGAGCAGGGGTCCAAGGCTGAGACATGTGGGTTGGATTATTTGTTAGCATAAAGATTAATAAATAGCAACAGCGGTTTATAAACCTGCAGTTTACCAAAAAGTCAAGGTCAGACTTAGGAACAGCGACATAAAAACAGGAGTTTTTCTAGGAAGTATTAGAAACATGTCATAGATGGAGCAGAATTTATGCATGTCGCCCTTTTCCAATCCCTGAAAAGGATTATGCAGAACTGGATAAATGACTAAGAAAATGTCAAAGTTCTGACATGACCTTTTAGCAGTGATTTGGTTCTGGATAACTAACTGCAGCCCCTGCTGTGGTTGGGTTTAAATGTCCGCTGACTGCAAAAGCAAACAATAAATCTTTGCCCACTTTCCTTTGTATTGTTTCTTCACGATAAACACAGTCAATTCTCATTGAAGTGAACAACAGCACACGGCCCTTTTACCCAGAGCCTTCTGTCGGCGTTGACTACATTCACTGCAGAGTCAGGAGAACAGCCGAAGCATCAGAGTAAACACAGTTTAGCAAAGAAACAATCAATACGCTCTCGCCTTGTCAGCCTCCGTCAACGGGGTAATTTAGGAGGTAGAAAAAGAAAAGAGAAATGAAAGAAAACGTGATTAAGGCGGCAGTGAAGATCATCTGAGAAGAAGGAAAAGCTGGAGGCTGATCAGGTCTGCAGTAGATCCTCTTCTCTGACAGGCAGAGGAGGTGACAGCAGATGGTAAACACTTATGACCTGCAGTCACTGGATGGATCACTGTGTGGTTGTACTCCAGGCTGAGCTGACTGCAGATTTACAGTAATAACAAAAATAGTCGTTCTAAATTTAGTAAAATGAATGATCAGACCACGGCAGTGTGTATGGAATGACATGAGAAATGATGGATTTGGTCAGTGGGTCTAATTTTGTCCCCGTGAATGATGTGACTGCATTTTCTCCCTCCACGTTCTAAAAGACAGTCCATCTCCTCGTCACAACTGACTGCTTCTGAGAGAGCAGAAGAATCAGTCCATGGCCTGGTTCCACTGTCACAGTAAATGACTCGTACTACTGATCAACACAGTTCCGGCTCAAACAGGAATCTTAAATCTTCCAGATGAAGATGGAATGGTTTATCAACGGTCTCAGAGTGGAGTCCGGTCTGACTCACACTCCTGTGTCGTAACTGTACAGACAAGATGGTGAAGATTACACAGGAATAAATGAACCATTACAGAGTTCTCTTAGTTGGGAAATGTGTCCAAAGAGTTTGGTTGAAAGCAACTGGACTTCTTCTTGTAGCTTGAAAGATGTTTCGTTCCTCAACTGAGGAACTGCATCAGTTTCTGAAACTTTCTTCATCAGTTTCTCAACTCTTTGGATAACGTGACCTGGATGAATAAGAATCTTCACAGACGTTGGGAAATCTTCTTCTTCTTCTTCTTCTTCTTTCTTGGTCAGACACAGGAGAATCTTCAGCCTCTGACTTCCATCAGAGTGAACCATAGAACCACAGATATATATACATACGGACAATGCAAAAATAGACAACCAATGAAATGTTCATCTTACCTTCACCGGCAGCAGTCGGAGGCTTCTGTAGCAGACAAGTGATCAGCAGAACAATCATCATGTTTTTGTTCAACAGTGTTTTAAAGACACTCAAGTGAATCCACAGGTCTGTTTGGAGCTTTTCTCTTCCATCTGCGCACAGAAACCAGTTGTGTGTCTTCCTGGCCTTGACCTTTCGATCTGCATCTCCCCAAACGTAGTGACAGGATCATCCTTGTATTGTTCCAGTCTTATCAGTTCAACACTCTGTCACCCTGAGGGGAAAAAGTCGCCTCTGTTGTTTAGCACTCTCTCTCTAAACAACATCCTCCGAGCTGCACACATGACTGAAGGTGGAGCTGAGTGACAGTCTCACCGTGCTGCACAGTCTCTGTTCTCTCTGAACACCTAACACGAGAACAAGCTCATCTAATAAAGTAAACAAACTGAACCGATGCTCCTACAGCTCAGGTTTCACTGATCGATCAAGACCGTCTGACGTTAGTCCAGTTTGGTGACCTATTAACCAAATAAGAATACAATAAAGATGAGAACACACTAACCCAAGGTAGTGCAAAAATCACAGCCGAAAGAGTTACATTTACACGGAAAATGTCTGAAAATGTTCCTAAAATTTTTATAGAAATCTATACATAAAATTTCCGCTGTTGTCCTGCTTGAGTTTTAAATTACATTTTTATGTCAATCAACAAATATGTAGTTTGTGTTACATGCCTAAAACTATGGCACAGTTCTGTATAATGAGAAATGTCCCGGTTAATTTTCTGGTTTCAACAGCACTGATAACCAT